TTTAAAAAAGATAATTATAATTAAGAATAGGTATAAGATATATAATTCTAAACTCTTGGCTATTATTCTGGTATTCCGTACTTAGTAGTATTACCTAGTATATATCCGGTATACTATTATTATTAAGATAGATTATAATAACTTAAAATACTTTATAACTAAAAGAAAACTAAATAGTTAATAAATAAGATAGGTAGAGAAGCTGGCTGCCTTTGACTTTATCTTAGAATACTAGCTAGGGTATAGTAATCCCGCTAATAGGCTATTAAAGAGGCCAGACTTTATAGTAGATATAGATAAAAATACTTTATTACTTATACTTTATAATAAGCTATAAAATATAGAATAGAGAACCCTATAGGTAGTAGTAATAGGATATTATACTATTCCTATAATACTATAATATAAGGCCTAGGAAAGAGGAAGTAAGTACTTCTCAATTAGTAAGATATTAAGGAATTCCGAAAAAGAAGTTTATTTTAGTAATAGAATAGTACCGGAAATACTATTACTTGAGCCTATTATTAGTATAGCTAATTATAAATAGTATATACTACGGATTCTAGCTATATAAGTAGCTAGGTCCAAAATAGTATATGAGAAAAGCAGAGAGATATTATTTAAACTACTATTATAATACTAAAGGCTTGATCTATTAGTATAATACCGGTAATATAAATAGTTTTTAAAGGGGACCTTTACTAGAGCTATTAAGACTTGGGAACTTGATATATCTGGGTTATTAAGATATTAGGGTACTATTTATATATTAAATAAGCTAGCTCTTAAAAAAGAATTACTATAAGCTAACTATAATAATCCTATAAGTGGGTATTTTGGTACTAGTAAAATACTAGAGATTCTCTAGAGAAAGTACTTCTAGTAAAGTATAAGAAAGAATATAAAAGACTATATTAGAACTTATCTTATATATTAATAGACTAAGGTAAAGAGATATTTGCTATATAATATACTTAGTTCGTTTTCCCTTCTCTCTAAGCTATAGCAAGAAATTACTATGGACTTTATTATAGGACTATTTCCTTTTAGGTTTTATAATAAAGTATATAATTCTATACTTATTATTATTAATAGATATATAAAAATAATATAATATATTCTGATTACTAAGAAGGTCTCGGCTCCTGAGCTAGTAGAGCTATTTATATACTATATTATTAAAGACTTTGGTATGCCTATAGGTATAACTTCTAATAGAGGATCTGTTTTTATAAGCAAGTTCTAGTTAAGTCTATATTTCTACTTAAAGGTTTAATAATAACTAAGTATAGTATTCTATCTATAAACTAATAGATAAATAGAGAATCTGAACTAAACTCTAGAATAATACTTAAGGTACTATACTAGCTACTAGTAAGATAACTAGGTAGTAAAGCTTATTCTTATAGAATTTATATATAATAATTTTATATATTTAATAATAGAAATATCCTTATTCTATATCTTATACGAATTCCATTCTAGTATTAAACTATATATTAAGGATAATATTCCAGAAGAAGAAGTACTGGTAGTATAGGAAAGAATATAAAGGATTTAAATAGAATAGGAAATACTAGAGAAATAATAATAAGAAGTAATAAATATATAGAAAAAATACTATAATAAGAAATATATTAATAAGAAGTTTAAGATATATAATAAAGTCATACTTTATATAAAGAATATTTAATAGCTATAATCTAGTATAAAGCTAGTAAATAGATATCTTAGTTTCTTTAAAGTTCTGGAAGTTATAGGAATATATAGACAGGTATATTACTTGGAATTACTATTATTATATTAGATCTATAATATTTTTTATATTTCTCTCTTAGAACTATAGTACCTATAAGCTGGTACTATAATAGAACTAGAGCCGGTCGAGATTAAGGACAAAGAGGAATTCGAGATAGAATTTATTATAGCCTATAAGAAGGACAGAAAAGAAAGAAAGTATCTTATTTATTAGAAAGGCTACTTACTAGTAAATAATATATAGGAACTACTAAGTAATCTAGAGAATATAGCTTAAGAATTATAAGAATACTTAGAAAAGAGTAATATTATAATACTATTAGCTAAATAGAGGTATAAAAGATAAATGCTTTTATTAGGAAACTATTAAAAAACCATATATTTATTCTTGGAAAAACTATATAAAAATTATTAAAAACTCTAATTTCTATATCCTATAAATACCCTATTCTTATAATTACTTTCTATTATCCTTATTATTATTCTTATTAGGATCCTTTTGAGAAATAAGTAGTAAATTAGCCTATAAAGCTATTAGCTATTAGTAAGAAATAAGGAAGAAGTAAGCTTACTTAATACTAAAGAATATTAACTATACTATTAAGAGTACTTTATACTTATACTAAGCTAGTAAGAATTACTTAATCTATTTCTTGGATTATTAGGGGAATTCATTAGCCTCAAATAATAGCTTTAATATAAGAAGTATATATAGTTTAGTATAGAAGAAGAGTAGTAATAGCCTTCTTCTTTTTAGGTAAAGGATAGGGAAGATACTTATATATATTAATAGCTTAAAGAAGGCGGTTTAATTATATTATATATACTTGAGGAACCTTAGATAATATTAGAATAAAGAATAAAAGAAGGAATTTATAATTTATAAGATTATATTTCTTGTTCTTAAAGTAGTAGTAATTATATACTAAGTAATTATTACTCTTAATATAAGTAAGGTCGGGAAACTTGGTAATATTCTTGGAATATTAAAGATAATAAGGGCAAATTAAAGATATAGAAGTATTAGCTAAATAGGTAGTAATAGGCTAATAAGTACTAAAAGAAGTATTTATCTTAATAAATAAAGAAATAGAAGAGGGAATTAGAAGGGGACTTAAATAAAGCTTAAATAAGACTTAAAGGAGCTTAAAGAAGCTTAAAGAAGGCTTAAAGAAGGAAGGCAAGGAATAAGGAGGAGCTGGGTATAGTATTATAATTAAGGAAAAGGAAGATTAGTTAGTAGAAAAAAGGAGGCCTTTTTATAATACCCTTTCTCCGAATAGTAATTACAAATTCGGAACCGGCTCTATACCAGGAATACCCAGAAAATTCTAAAGAAGAGATTTATAAATAAACTAGAAGATTGGATTAACTTTTCTAAGCTCTTGGGCCTATAGAGTAATAATTTATTTGCGAATAGAGGCTAAGTTAGGATTTATGAACTAATTAAGAGATTAGATAAGCTTTATATCCAATAGTATATACTATATTTATATTACCTTTATAAGGGGGAATTACTAGAGGCAATTTACGAACTAGCTAGGAAGAGTTAGTAAACTATATCCTTAACTCTATTATCTGATATAATAATAGGGCAATTATGGGAAGTTTTTAGGGAAAGCTAGTAGCCAGGAAAGTTTTAGGAGGATATTTATAAAGCTATTTGTAGTTTTCCCAGGCCTCTTGAGAATAAGGGCCTAGAAGGGGGATTAATATAATAGGTATATATAATGGTATATAGATAGGTATTAGATATTATAGATCTAGTTTCCTATTTTGGGTATAGCTTGTAATCGGAATTATATAGATTATATGGGATTTCCTAATTAAGTAAAGGGCTTTATATATTTGGCTAAGTACTAGGGAATATATAGGGAGACGCTCCTAGCTTTGGAAGGGGCATTAATTAGTCTCTTATTAGAATCAATTCTTGGAATTAGTTATATTTGCAAGTATTACTCCGTAGCTTACTTACCTTGACTACTTATATATTACCCTGCTATTATGTACCTTATACCTACTTATCTTAATTTTATTAATTTTATTTTTTTAAGATTAATATATATTAATATTTAGCTAGTTTATAAACTAATCTATTAATATTATATAATAATAATAATAATAAAGTATTAAGCTATTAGATATTTAATTCTTAAATTTCGAGAAAATAAGCGAAAATAAGCGAAAATATACGAAAATTATAACTTTTAAACTTTAATAACTTGAAACTTATAAATTTAAATAATATAAAAATTATTTCCCCTAATAAGATTTACTTAAAGATAAATAATTTAAAGTTTTAAAGTTTTATAATAAGTAGATTATAATTAATATTAAGTAAAAAATATATAATTTTTATATAATTTATAAATTAATATTAATAAATTATTAATATAATACTATAAGTCTTTTATTTAATAAGATTAATATTTCATTATTTTTAATACTAGTATTTTAAACCAAGTATTAATAGTATTATTATATAAAAAGTTATAGATTTATAAACTTGTTTGAAACCCAAGTCACGTGACGAAGACTTAACTGACCTGATTGTACCTCCAACTTGAAACACACCCTGAAGAAAGCCAAAGACAATCTAACAATTGCAAAACCATAGATGAAGATCTCGAAGCAAGACGTCTCTGAAATGGAAATAGGCTACATGCGACCGAAGTTGAAATCGAAAATGAAGCAGTCAAGCCACTAACTGGTAAACCTTTGTTTTTGGAAAATAACAACCAATTGAAACAAAGAAGGTTACATTTCATCGAACACAAACAGAAGTTACAGAACGACCTTTTTGTCTCCATGAGCCCCAGCAAACCCCACGAATGAAAATCCCAACCGCGGAAAGATCAGTCCAGGAACTCTATTGTTAGGAGCTCAAAGAGGCTCCTAGTCTCGCAAGGATCTCGAACCGGACCCTATGAAAACATATCTACTTTATTCTGTAGACGGCGCTGATATAATAGAACTACCGAATGCAGAGATACAATATATGGTAGCGCAGAAGATGAGAGGTGTGGGGGGCTTTGCTCCTGCAGGAGAACATCCTGCGCTATTCGAGCATAAATTCTCTATGATTGGTGGATGCACGATTAATAGACTTTCAATACTAGAGGAGGGGAGATTGATAGGTACCGTTGTAAGGGCAGTAAAAGAGGCAACTGTTGTTGCGAGTCAGCTTGGGAAAGGAGTTTAGGGTGTCAATAGAATGAGACTTTAGGATGTTGGATATATTTGGGGTCTTCATATGGCTAGACAAAAGTTGTGTCCCGTAATCTATTATAAGACTCTGTCATAGCCAATTGGTTTTTTTATTTTATTTTTTAAAATCTTCTATCATAGTTGTCAGGGATTTCCGCCACCAAAGTTCCCACTCACGAAAACGACAAGAACGGCAGCATATGCAGCGCAAGCTCCAAAGACTTCAGATCTCTGTGCATTTGTAACTAGGCCGACACAAAGAGCAAAGGAGACGGTGTAGAAAGCGATTAGGCCCAGCTTAATTCTGGGGCTCGTGACGCTATACAAATGATATATTGCCCCGAACAAAAGAGCGAAAGCCAGGACAATGTTAATAATTGCGACGAAGTATTGGAGGCGGCGCTCTGAAAAATAGGCAAGTGAGCTGTCTGTTTTCCGTTTCTTTGGTTTCTGGCACACTGAATCAGCATCGGGACTCGGTATCTCTCAATGGGTTATCCACCGCATGAGGGGTGCTTACAATGAACAGCCACGGACAACTGTAACGTATAAAAGACGTGAGTCGGTCTTCTTCAGTAGAATTTCGCAAGCTCATAAGGTCGTTCTTCTCTTTCTCTTCATAAATCCATGAACCGCGGCCGCCAAGGGTTGGAAAGCTGCCTCTCGGAGAATCGGTATTGTTGAAAACGTTGCGGAATGCGGTCAATGTTCTTGATGAAGGAGGCTTCAAAGAGGCCAAAGTGCTTTCCAGGAGGATGGCTTCACCTATATCGAGTTATTAAGGTATTTGCAGCTCGAGAGTTGTTCCTTACGATATTCCTTGAGCCTCTTTCGAATTTGCTTTGCCAGCTTCATTCGCTCCCACTCGCGTGTATTTTTCGGGTCCGAAGCCTTTGAGCTGAACAAGTTCCAGTCACTGGCAATGCCTTTATCTTCTGGACTACCACGAAAATCCTCCTCGTCGAAGGCATCCTGTCGTGCCTGAAGTTCTATCAACTCGCTCTGCAGATGGAGTAAATTTCTCGCTGACAGCCTATCAAATCGCCGATAGATCAAGGTGCTCTTGTCCTTGTCGCTCGCGATGAAAGCAGCGAGAGAGGGATAGCCTGTCAGATAATATATCTTGATGGCATCTGTCGACTCTTTCTCGGCATCTGAATGCATTTGCTAATGCGCGGTTGGGTTACGATAGCCCAACATCAGAAGAATCTTCTTGATAATAACTACATATATGAGTAGCCTCATGCACCCAACAACCCAATTCCAAGATTGGACGTTTTTATGGCTGGAAAGTCTGCCTTGCCGCAGGCAGCATAGTCAGACGTGGTAACCGCTGAGTGGATTGTTAAGCGAAGGCAGCACGGCAGGAAGATGCACATCTCCCCTCGCCCTGCGATCGTCACCAGGCGCTCACAATTCTTCATTCTGGTAGATATTTCGTATCATAGGTGCGACGATATCTGCAAGTTCTTGCCATACCATGAAATAGTTCCTCTTTAGTCCGAGACCATCAGGATAGCGAGAATATAATCTCGAGCTTGCCGACATGGCGGGGGTAATCGCAGCCGAGGCTGGCGAGGCTGGGTCGATAAGGATTCCATATTCGCACACAGTCCAAAATTCCAGGGAAGAAAAATACACCCACAAACAGCGTAAAAACCTTCGCAGGATACAGCTAGAACGGAGATTAGCACCACTTCCACTGGATCCAAGGAGTTTCCTGATACACAATGAAGACAAAGATTTTGACAACCTACTTCGGGGGATTCAAGGAAACGCTGACCGGCCCCAAAGCCTACCTGACAGCGTTGAGAATTTGGAAACTTCAAGCCAAGCGCATCAAAGCTTTTCTCGCACCCTCAAGACCCAGAAGGATCCGATTGAGAGCAATTCAAGACCTCCTGTCGTTCAACAGTCCGCGGAACTATATAATATTCAGAGAGGTTTCGACATGGCTAACCGAACAGTGAGCATAATTGCCAGCGCGAAACCACTCTGTACATCTGTCCTTGGAACTGCGAGAGATAAGGAAGATACTGTGCAAAAGGCTGCGATAACTCAAGTTACACGCACGAGATCAGACGAGAGGAGACAGAGCAACACGGCAAACGAGAAGGTAGAGCAGCGGAGAACAGGAACGGTCCGACGGGCCAGAAAGGTCCCGAAATTTGCATTTGAGCCTATGCGAAAAAAGAACGAGAACAAGAGTGAGGGAAAGGTACGGGATCCCGACACCAAAGTTGACCATAGGCCTACGGCGCTGGAGTTCGAGCGTGGTGGTGTAGCCGCTGTGGAGGCTCAAGGTGTATTCGAGAAATCAGGAAAAGTCGCAGCCATCGATAAAGAGGGGGGTGAACAGACTTCATCAAATAGTGATTTGAAAACACAGAGCCGCGCTGGGAGTTCTGAAACGGGGAAGAAGGTCATGACTGGGGCGGGTACGGGTTCCACGCAACCGACAAAAAGGTGCGTACCCCAGATAACTCTTTGAGCCAAAAGCCAAACCCCTCCTACGTCTTATCCCGGCTGACATCTTTAAGGACGCCACGTAAGCTAAAGATGGAGCTTCCCATGATCTTGATGGGGGAGACAATCCCGTCCACAGCTGATTCGGGGTCAGAAGAAAACATCATTTCCAATGAAGTTATACTGGCTCTGGGTCTTATTATTGATGATGCCCCCCAGCACCAGCGAGAGTTTCGTATGGGAAATAACCGCATAGTGATCGCCCTTGGGCGCATAGTGGTTGCATGTACCTTTGCACGAGACCAGAGCGTCCAGCTGCAGTGCTGTTTTTATGTCTTCCAAACTCTTATTGCACCTCTCATCATGGGCATGGCCTTTCTCGACGAGACGGAAACACTCACAAAGAATAAACATCGACTCCAACCTCGCAACGCTCCGTTGCAAGGACCACTCGTCTGTGCCTCACTCAACAATCCCAGAAGGCGATTGCGGTGTTTCGTAGTGCCAGAAGGCGTTCGTTATGTCGATCGAGCCGAGAAGCAGAAATGCAAAACCCTAGTCAATGCCGATACTGGTTCTGAATTGGACTTGGTGTCATTGGACTTTTGCATGAGGCGCAATCTTGGCATTCGCCGGCTGGACGAGGGCTACTCGGAGATCCAATTTGCTGACGGTAGCATTGGCTCCCTGGTCGGTCAAGTGAAACTCCGAGTTCCAATTGGGCGCTGGACAGGAGATGTTCTTGGACGAACATTTTATGTTTTTCCTGATCTGACTTGCGACATGTTGTTTGGGGAGGAGTTTTTGGATGAATTTGATGCATTCGACACTTATCGAGACACGGTATACCTGGAGGATGATCTCGAAATAGCTCAAGTAAGCACGATTGTCTGGCTCAGGGCATATGAGAGGCTCCTCCTTTGGCCCCTTCAGTCACGGCGGCAAAATAGCCACAACGATACGTTGGGACCCGAGATGAAAAGCTCTGAGGTAGTTCTGGACGCGGAGTCAGGAGTGACTGCGACCACTGCTCAATCGGATGGAGACCAAAACGTTGAGAATTCAAGATCAGGTCTGGAGGAAGTTTCTCCCCAACCAGCAGGCACTCAATCGGATGGAGGCCAAAACGTTGAGAATTCAGGGTCAGGCCTGGGAGAAGTTTTTCCCCAACCAGCAGCCACACAATCGACCAAAAGTCCACATAGCCGTGATCTACTGAACACCCCTTCAGGGGCAGCCTCTGTCTCGAAAAAGATGAGTATCGTAAAGTCGGTCTACAATTGGCTACTTGCAGCTCGACGGAGGGCAGTCCACCGCTTACGACATCCTCCACCTTTGGGTAAGTTAGTCTACATCAACGGGAAGGGGTACCAAAACTAAAAGGAATACAGCAACGAATTCTGAGCCTGACCTTGATGCTCAAATAGATGAACTAGATGCACGAGAAAATCGCCGGCGAGAAGAAGTTAAGAGAATGATCGAGTCCCTTCCACCGCAGGAAAAAGCAAACGCTACTGAGTTGGAAGTGGAGAAAGGGACTGCTTTCTATCGAGATAGGGGTAATCTGATTTGCTTGAGGGACAAGTACAAGGTTAACTCTGTATCTCAACGTGCATCTTGAGGCGGTGTAGCTTTGTTACTCTTGAAGGCTCTGCATTTGAAAAAAGGGTTAATGCGGGAAGTCGTAGGCGTGTATGTACTAATTCATGATTGGAAGCTTTTTCGTCTGAAATTTTTCAAACAATCAAAATACCCGAGTCTCTTCTTCGATGATAACACTTCAATGGTTTCAATTTGAAAGGCTATATAGTACGACGTAACCACATTCACCCTACTTATAAACCAGCCACTTTCAACAATTTCGCTCCACGATTAATTCTTATACTTCTAATACTACTTTACTTAAGTCTAGAAAAGCTATACAAAGCTATCTCCCGCGGCTTAAAATAGCCCACCGTATTCTAATATTATAGGACGGAATTGCGAACCACGTGTTCTTTGACAAGAGTAGTCCAAAATTGCTCTAGCAGAAACCCTGTAAGGGAGCAGAAACGGATTCCCGGACAGAATCCAGTAAGGAAACAGTAGCCGGGGTATACAGGAGGCTAAAATAGATTCCATATTATAGTGCGCAGGCTGGCTCAGGATACTCAGGCTCTGCTCAGGCTCTGCTCAGGCATACTCAGGCTTTGGTCAGGTACGCTCACCCTCGGCTCAGGTTAAAGCAGCAGCTGCTCACGTCCAGAGACTACTAAAACGGAACCAGCAAGGATGAGATTAGAGTCTGACTTTCGTAGACGTCACGCAGCCTCCATACTCCAGAAGCGAAATCTCAAAGTAACTTCAGTCCCATATAAATCTCAACAATTCCACCTCTTACGTATCAAACAGAGACTGCTCATCATCTTCACGATCCCCTCCATTCCCATTCCCGGCGCCATCAGGTATAGGAATCTCAATAATCTCATTATCATCCACAATCTCCCCACCTCCACCGAGATTCTCCTCAAGGAGTGGGATCTGAATCATCACCTCCTCAATCGGCGAATCCACCAACCACTCCCGCAAAATCCCAGCTGCACCCAACCCAGGACTGCTAGTCCGCACCGCAACATGATGCGGAATTGGACTCTCATCGGGGTCAAGGAATGGATTTTCTGCTTGGGGCCGAAGCCGCGGGGTGTCAGGTCTGAATCCGCCTTGCTCTTGTGGAGGGGCCACACGCTCACCAGCTGTTGGTGGCTGTCTTCTCGGCGCAACGCCCGATGTCAAAATATCCGGGTGTTGGCGGAGCGGGTTCGGATGTGCTCTGGAAGGAGGAGAACGACGACGTGGAGGCTCACCAGGGACATCATTGTGAAAGAGTGGGGGAGTAGGTTGAGCACCTTCGTTGGCATGAGGAATCCCAAGGTTGGCTTGGATGCCCAGCGAGTTTTCGTGCCCGCCAGCCTCGACGAGAGGATTACTGTGAGGTACTGGGTCAGGTGGTGTATTGCCAACTATGTGGGTGTCGCCGTTGGTGCTGGCGTAGCTGAGGTCGCTGGCGTGACTGTTGCAGGTGTTGGGATTGTTCAAATTCGAACCCACGCCACGCATCCACCGCCCGCTCCCCAATCCCCAGGCAACATAACAGCCAGTCATAACCACAAAATAATTAAAACTCCCTTCACTGAAGGTCTGAGACAGTAACTCCTGAAGAAAGCCATAGATTTTCAGCAGGAAGAGCGGATGTCTGAGACACATAGCCAATGCAAAGCATTCCCTCTCCACACCTCGTACCCTCCCAATAAAACTATTGTTTTTACTCGTACATCCATTCTCCTCGAATCTGTACGCACACTCTCTTATCTCTTCCATATGTTTATTGAAAACCGAGTTCGGAGCAGTGAACACCATGTATGCGAATGGCACGCAAACATGAATGTAAATAATCGTCGCTACGAAGTAAATTTTAAGGACGTAATTAAGATACCGGCGGATTCTTGCAGCGGTCCAGGGTTCGTAAGATGCCAAATAGATAGGGAAGCTGTGGCAGAAGAGGAGAAAGATGAATAGTGTTGGTAATCCATAATCAAAAAAAAGGTCGAGGAGGACGAAGCCGGCCATATCTGCGGTTATTACCAGGATCGATGCGCCGGTCAAATCTCGAAAATCTTTTTGGGTTTTGAGGAATACACGGGTGAGTGGCATTGCGATAGAGGGTACTATTTTTTCGGTAAATTTTAGAAGGGGGAGTTAAGAAAGTATTGTTTGTTGAGGGAAAGATCAAAGACGCGCAGAATTGCCGGATGCAGTACTTTGAGGGCGCAAGCGGTTATCGAGGACAATCCTTTGTACACTTTCCTTATATCTCATAACAAAAAATGATCCTCTGCAAGCCAACTAAATTTATAGAGCAATTATTGTTCCCTCCATTAAGCAAGTATTGATTTCATGTCTTCATCAGAACCCATGTGGAATTTGTAAGTTCTCTCAACATGCCACAAGATCTTGCTAACCAGTACCAGTTCAGCATTGCCGGAAGAGCCAATCGCAGAACATCTAGAGCAGTCCGAGGAGGACGAGGCTCACCCTATCAATCTCGAAGCTGAAGAAGTTCCACCCCAAGAAACGCAAGCTCAACCAGGGCTAATGGACCAGAAAACGGTACAGTGGTTAATTGACCAACTGAACTACTTTGGGCAATTGGTGCAAGTGATTCACGATGAAAAGATCCCCGCGGATTGTACGTCCAAAAATCAAAAGCTGAAACCTTGTTACTTATAAGAGGGGTTCATTAAGAAAACGCTGACCTTTCCGCCGTCTGCAGTAAATGAGACGCTTCAAAAAATCATGAGGAACACCCAGAATTTGCCCGAAATGATATCAACCTTGGACAGCCTCAACAGCCGCCATCTTCTCTACGAGTTGGGGACTAATGTGATTAAAACTCGCGTCCAAGAATTGAGTGAGTGATTTGCCTCGGAACATTTCCTGCCTTGCCATGGCTCTTGATCCCTCAACTCTAAGTTTCATTTGCTGACTCTCACCGGCTACAGCTGACCAAGGCAAAGCTGCGAATGTTCAGCTGTCAAACTTGTTTCAACTGCAAAGTCAGATCTTTCAGGGGCTTGGGAAGCAGCTCACCACGCTGCTAGAGCTCTCTGAGCGCATCGATCGCTTGGCAACTGGCGGGCGAAACGGTCAACGAGTCACCTTGCACACTGCTGCAACCGCCCCCGAGGGTTCACTCTTCAGTCGCGTCATGGCTGGGTGTCGAGCAATTGGGCGATTTTTTGGAAGTCAGGTAAGACGGATTCAAGAGTGCTATTTTGGAATTTGGTTGCTAACAACTCGGGCCAGCCTCTTGGCATCTTTGCTGCCATCATCCTGATCGCTGTTATCGTTGCACTGAAGATGTATGAGATGAGCCAAGGAAAAGAGCTTTAGAGGAGAAATGCTTGCAAGAATGGCATTTCATTACTTCGGGAACATTGATGGGATACGTTTTATATCATCTGTAAATAGAATGTGGTGGCGAGGGTATGGAAAGAGCGGGGCTGAATTTGGATTTGCTGGCAACACGATTGTATCATAATAGCAATTGAATCGAAATCCACAAGTACACATTTGAAATTCACTTGAGGTATCCGGGAGTCCATGCGATTGATGCATTTTCAACGAAGAGGGAACTGCAAATGAAAATTTCTGGTGAAGCTGTCAAAATCTCGAAATGCGTTCCAGCCATAAAGGACCCTAAAAAAATTATCCTATCACTCATAATCTCTACTTCCCCCCCAAGTTTCCCAAATTCTCTAAAACAGGTCGTGGATCTTTCAGCAGCTCCCGCCATCCCGGATTGCTCTCCAAAATCATCCCCACCCTTCCACTCGCCCTTGTCCCCACGAGAACCGGCGCACTTGCAGCGTTCTGAAGCTCCCGGCACTTAATCCAAATCACTAATAGTGTGAGCACAACCGCCACAACTTTCGGGAAGCCCTGAATCTTGTCAGCAGCCTCGACACTCCTCAGAAAGGGGAAGTACATACCTCACCACAAACCCACCAAATCACCCTTCTCATCAGCCTCCCCACCCACTGCACCACAATCGCCAGATCCCCAAATAGAGCCTCGAAAGTATCGACCGCTCTGTGGATATCAGCAGCCTGCCGATCCCTCGTCGCATGCTCAGATATCCAGTGAATACTTCTCAGATCCTCTGCGTGCAGTTTCTCGTCTTTGAGCCTATTCAATGCCTGCAACTTGTCGGCTTTGTACCTCGCAGCTTGCCGAAGACCTTCGTCATGTCTCTCGTGAACTCTTATATTCTCCCGTCCCTGCTCAACTAGGAAATTCCCAACCCCGGTTCGGATATCTGTAAATATTCCTTGGAATGCCCCCAAGTGTTTATTTACTTCATCGGCCGCTTCTATCACCTCTCCTAAGCGATTGGCGATGTCAGGCAAAGGGTGTGTGACAGCACTGGCGGTGAGTGAAGTGCCTGTGCTGGTGGATGGTCCCTCTCCAGGGTCCTCAGATGTTTCGTCCGTACTGTCCTCAAAACGCCTGCCTCGTCTGCGTAAACTGGGAGGAGTTTGGGGAAAACTGGGAGTTGGACTTGGTCTGTCCGCGCCAATACGTGCAGGCTGTCTCTGTGGAGGGGGAGCACTGGGTGTCCCAGACGGTCGAACTAGGCGTATTTCTGGAGGACTGATAACATCGGGGCGTGGCTGTCCACTTGGATGTACGAGGATCGGCGAGGGCTCATCACGCGCTGCTCCATCCTGGTCCGCCATGTTGTAATCTCAACTTGCAAATTGAAATGAGAGGTAAAGTACGGTAAGAAGTATCAATGCCTATGTTTCGTGGGAAATTTTCTCTTTCAAGTGTTTATAGTGAGAAATGACAAAGCCATTTTGTTGTCACGTTGAACGAATTGCCGTTTGCGGCCTGCTAGTTGTTGAATCCGGCAATTCTCCACATCACGCTTGCAGCCATCAAAATCTCCTTTGTTTTCCATGAAGAATACCGATTCAAATGGCTGTGAGAGACTTCTCAATTTTGCCGTCATAGAATTGAAAGCCCTCTCACTTCGAATTCAACAGGATAAAATCAAAATTCGTGGACGAAAACACGGAAAATTGGAAGCGATGGTTTCTCACCTCGATAACCCTGTCTTCCTCACCATTATACCTTACCTCGTGTACCTCTGGACTCTCTTCTGCCACACGTTTCCGATCAACCGAATTAAAGGGCCCATAACATCAAAGCTTCTCCTCGGATATCTTCGATGGGTCACCAAAGTCTGGTGCATAGCAACTTTGGGCTACCTTGTCATATGCCTCGTCTTCGCACTCCTCACAGCCTCAACACCGTCCTCAAGACTTTCCCAGATACTCTCCGGGTTAACAGAGTGCACCCGCCGTTCCAACATCAACAAATGCAATAGCCACCAATACGTATGCTCGTTGCTGCGGAAGGAGTGCTGGGCTCTAGCCATGTGTCTCTCGCAATCCAAACAACACGCTATCATATCTGAGATTCTCCTGGAGTGGATCTATCAATTTTGGAGCGGCTATTACTGGTTTATCCCGCTCGCCAGCTTGTACATACTCATCATCGCTAGGTTTCCTGGAGATGTCGCTGCAAGTGGGTACGGATTTGGTGGTAGAACTTGTGTGCCTCACGGTCCTGATTCTCCAGATGCTGAAGCCATAGAGGAAGCAGTAGGCAACGACCTCCATGTTCCTCCAACCCCGCCTACCCCACCTCCTCGTCGCCGGGTTCGTCTTACCCATCGCCAGGATCGTTCTCGCATTCAGGCTCGTTTTGCTCGTCAAGATGCGACTTTGAACGAGAATGTGGACATCGCACGACCGCAAGACCCAGCACAAGCACAAGCGTTGCGCAGCGCTGGTTTCCGAGCCATTCCACCGCCCGGTTTCGTGCACAACGATCTGAATCCCAACCCGGAAGGTCGACTTCGCGCCGCCGCTTACGAGCGGGATCACTTCAGACTCTTAGACGAAGCCGACAGGGCATTTCATATCTTTAGAATCGGGGGAATCACTGCAACTCCAAATCATCTGGCGGAACAAGGACTTGTCGAAACTCAGGATCCCCCATTCCATCCTCCAGAAGTCGATGAAGCTCGGGTCCCAGGGGCCGGTGTTCCCATTGCTGGTGAAGGAAGGCAAGCCTTGCTTCTGTCGCGGAGCGGTCATGCGGAATCGGCGGTTGACCCGAATCAGCCACGCCACCCTGTATATGCTTGGGATGCTATAGGTCTTCTGGTCCCAGACCCTACGCTTGAGCATCCCGATGCGTTCGTAGATCGTGCGGGTAGGCGATACAATATAGTAGTCCGCCGAACAGGAGCTACTGTACCTCTGGCCCGAGCTCGAGAAATCCTCGAAATCGTTGATGAGGATAAACAGGGTGGAGAGGATGCAGAGGGCGGAGGAAATCAAGAGGATAGAGAATATGAAACCGGTGACGAGACTGTAACAGATGATGGGGATCACAACGGAGGAGGCCCATCGCCTCGAGAAATCGAAGATTCAACGGCCAGTGGCCCAAACTTCGGAGAAGAGCTTGCACATCAAATGGCTCCTATCCCAGCCCCCCGACGGCCACGACCTATAACCACGGAGCTTCTGCAACAATATCGTCTCAACCTACTTGCTCATGAACCCCCTGTTCCGGAGTTCAATAGGCCTGTAGGCTCTATCGAGAGACCTGCCGGAGACGCTCACCCGGAGCCAGGCGACTACTGGGCCGACAGTCGAGGCGCAAGATTCAGCATTACCCAACTCCGGGGCGATGATATTCAATTCCTCTCTCACGATGAAGTGACCCGGATCCTAAATGGACCTCCGCCGGGAGAGCAACCAGTTGGTGGCCCCCACTTTGAAATAGGCCCAGCCACCCGAGCTTGGTTCCAAACTCCCGCGGCCCAGGCACATTTTCTGGTTCAGAATGATATGCATCCGGTTGCTTTCGAGGAGTCTGCAGAAGGCGGACGCATCGAGACACTTCGGCCGCGCTTTCCTCAGGGAGATCTTGTGGCATATGATGAGGCAGGTTTTGCCGACCAACGCTTGGCTGCCTTCGTGATGCGTGACGAAACCTACATCACATTTCTAGTCGTGGATCATGTAGGCTATGCTGTGGATCCAGAAGAAGTACAAACTGCGCAGGACCTTCACAAGCTGTGGCGTCAGCGGGCTTTCGACGCGTTGCCATTTGTCGATAATTTCATAACCCACAACAATCTCTTTTCAACCACCTATCCTGATCCACAGCCTGCTAGGCCGCAGATGCCTCAAGGTGAGCTTCGACCAGAGCAAGGACGCCCGACGCACCTGCTGGATGATACCCAGACTCGGTATCTTGTCTATAGGCGCAATGGGGTACAAGACATGGTGCAACCTCAAGAGGTTCTGCGGCTCCAAGACGAATTCCTCCTGCGGCAGCTTCAACTGCGGCGAATTGACGCGATACCATATGTCTATAATTTCCTCACCTCAAACAACCTCTTTTCAGTCGCACATCCCGATCCGCCACTACGTGCCGGGCCCGAGATGCCCCACGGAGATCTTAGACTCATTGGAGAAGACCCGACGCACTTGCAAGATGAGACCGGGACCAGGTATCAAGTCTTCAGGCGACAAAATTACGAGCCCACAGCGATGGAGCTGAGCCTTGTGCCGAATGGCGAGGTTCTGCGGCTGCAAACTGAATTTCTCCAAGTATACCAGCGGGCGAGACAAGATATCGAACCAGAGAATCGAGAGCAAGGTAACGGACCCGGGACTGCGAGTGATCGAGAATATCCAGCAAGTGCACCAGCGAATTGGGATGGCGAATCCGGGAGTACGGACGGTCAAGAATATGCAAGAACTTTATAGAAGGGGAGACAGAGGGCCGTCGAACAACAACAGCAAGAACGTACCTCAGATGACGAGGTCTGGTTGCCGAAGAATCGTCCATCCTTTATAAGAGGGTAATCGAATGTTTCTAGAGCAAGATACCTTATCGTTAGCGTTTTCCCAAATTCCTCATTTCTTCTGGGTATCTTACCTCTCCTAAGATCGACAAAGAACACAAGAGTTGGACAATGACCCTTTGTTACCATTTAACCCATGAAAGCCAAACAGAGCCGCACATATCGTTCGCCAGAACAATGCCTTGTGCTATGTCCATAGTTAGCTCCATACAATCCATTCTTCTCGCAAAACAACCTATTCCCTTCCCTCCTTAAATTCTTCCCCGTCCCCTGTTCCTATTCCCATCTCTCCAAGGCCAACTGAAACCCCCTGAATCTCACTAACATCAACTCATCGCCATGACGTCAAACACACGCCTCATTTTCGACCCCCACGGCGCAAAATGCCACAAGCTCCTTACCTTCTACCGCCTCTGCGGCCACGTCGAGACCTCCTACCTGCACACCTCCATGTGCGCACTCGCCATACGCTCTGGGCTCCAGCCCGGGCTCGCCGGGCTGACATTCTGCTGGTGTCCATTCCCACTATCAACCCACCTGACATACTGTGTCGGTAAGTGCAATGTCTGCCAGGAGACCGAAGAGCCAGGCGTGAATCGTGCTAACGAGCCGCATCGGAATGTACTGCGTGGCAGCCAAGCGAGCGTTAGCTGGACGAGGAGATCTTATACTGCGGAGAAGATACGGATGCTGGCTAAAAAGTGGAGGGGCTTGGTTAAAGAACAGGAACGTATGGTAGATACGAGGACTGAGAGGCTGAAGGGGGTAAAGGAAGTGGAGCGTACGAGACGGGAGAGAGAATTGCAGTGGGAACGTGCGTGGGAGCAGCATAAGAGAGAGACTGATCCAGACCACCAGGCGCCCATTATACATGGGGACGCGTTGTTTGAGAATGGGACTGCGGTAATCAGAACCTTCGAGCAGCGCCGACGAGTAAAGATCCTAGATCTCACGGACGATTTTTCGAGACCACGCACAGAAGATGATCTGCTAGAGATAGCACCTAAAGTCACTCCCAAGGATGGCGATTGCAGTATTTGCATGAACAAACTTTTCGAGCCTTCGTTGTTTTCGGTCGACAATGCTGAAGACGCTGTGGTGCGCTTCCAGGGCGGTTGCAGACATGCTTTCCATCGCCAGTGTATCATCACACTGTTGATCACTGACAAGGCACAGTGTCCGACGTGCAGAGCTCTTCATAAATTTGTGCTTAAGAACGGGTTTGATGACCCGAAATTCAGATGGATCTTGGAGAATCCTAGGGACACTTTGCCCGGACAAGTCGCTGAACATAGACTTTGGCAGGTATCAGGATATCTTCCTTTTGCACAAGAGTTGGACGGTAAGGACTTCAAACCCTTTGATGTGGAGGACCGGTGGGGTGATCTTGAAGCCCGCTAATCTACTGGATCCAAGCTTTGTACTTCTGGTCGTGTACCTTTGCAATTGACCCAGTGATATGTATTATAATTAAAACATTTTGTACACTACAATATTTAAAATTCCAGTAAATCACTCTTAAATGGCAATTGCTAGTGAGATTGCGAGAAGGTTAATGAATGCCAGGTAGAATTGGACGAAATCAAACTCGTAATTGGAAACTAAGAGGGACTGCGTCCAACAACAGGCCTCATTATCCTGTTGAGTATTGGAATTGCGTTGAAAATAAACTCGAGGATCTCGAAAGACAGCAAGGAGAAGTTAACGCAACAGAAAGTCCTTGAGGTAAAAGAAACACTCTTCGCAAACTTCAATCATTCCGTAACTGAACCGGAGTCTCGACTTCAACCGACTGTGTATATTGAAACAAACACGTGAAATAAAACCAAGAAGATCAACCTCCAGACTTGCCGTTCACTCCTTTCTCCGCATCAACAATTACCGTCTCTTTCACCACCTGCCTCCTCCAAAACGGGACTCTCTTCTTCGCCTGCTCCTTCTCCTCCGCAACCCCACTACTACTCGCATAATCGCCGTCGTTCTCCTCCCAACGCTTCTTCATATCTTTCTTCTGCCTCTCCCAGCGAATCTTGTGGAACCATTTCCAGTTGACGATGCGCTTCTCAAGTCGGACGATGACTTTGGTGATCGAGAGACGGGTTGTGTAGATGACCAGGAGCACCATTGGGAAGATGATTGCTATGGAGATGCCAAACATGTATTCGAAGACGAACTTCAAGTGCAAGTCTGAGGGAAACTCTACGATTCTGAGGCTGAAGATTGTGGCGATAAGGGAGAGAGGAGCCTGGGTAAGTGATGTCAGTCAAATATTGGCAGACGAAAGGTGGTGATGCTCACGAAGATGATTGTCACGAGGGTGAACAAAACCATGATATTCCCCTGTTGTTTGGTAGATTCTGCGGTCCAGCGTGCCGATCTGGCTTCAGAAACGTTTGCTTGCTTCTGCTTTAAGTCCAGGAGGTGAGTGAGCTGTGGTGATTAGCTCAAGCTTCTTTCACATATACCAAGCATTACTTACTGCTTTGTTGGCGTGCTCGGCCTGAACTTGAAGAGTTTTACGTCGTTTCTCCTGATCATCCACCATTTGATGCAACTTTCCAAAATGAAACGACGAACTGTATGGTGCCTCTTGGCCTGGTTTACTCGACCCTGTTGTTCCAGCATGGCTTCGTGGGGATTTTGGCGTGAAATCTTGGAACTCGCTCGGTTTAGCCATTGCTTGAGCAGCTTGTTCAAGTACAGTTCTCTGCGTTTCGAGAAGCACCAAAAGGATATGAAGTTCGTCTTGGATGTCTTTGACCTCTTTCAAGAGTTCAATCTCTTCATCAATGCTGTATAATGCCTGCGAATCGTTCGGTGCTTCAGGATCCTGGTGTGTCGAGCGCTTCTTCTTCGACTCTGCAGCGAATTTGTTGAAAACTTTCGTCTCTCTATCGGTCTTTTAAGCCGTTGTCAGCACGAATCGAGGCAACCGGAGCGTATTGGCCCTACCACTGAAGCAATGGCACTTTCATACACATCAAGAATCTGCATCACTCCGTATGGGGTGCGTCGTTTGCAAAATGTCTCGAGACATTTGTACACGATCAGCTGCGCAAGATCATACACTGACTCTAGCGGAGGTCTGTTGACGAAGGTCAAGTATTTATGAATGCTGTTCAAGACGTCTCTTGAGTCCTCTTCGCTGATCGCCTTTTCGTCATCACGACTCCACTAAAGGAAAGCGGTGTTAGTGTCTTCTTCATCCAGCAACAGCTTGGGGAGGGGACTGCAGATTGAGGTTATACTAGAAGTAAGATGCAGAGCCCCAGAAAATAAAATGATAGGATGCTGGAGAGGGCTTAGGCTTATGCTTACATTCTGGGGAAAGCTTGTTATAATAGTATCTATGGTTACACTTGGTCAGCAGTGACACATATCACAGGTAGCTACACTGACTGTCATCCAAGATCCAACTAGATAACGGGGGAGTTAGCAATTGCTCAATCGGGATTGTTTCGGGAGAGGACATTGTCTTAGGTAAATCTTATGAAACAGTCGCAAAGAGGAAAGGGTTTCTCCTTACAGCCACAATTGATCCACCATCATAACGAATCGCGGTTCTTTGTTCTCACTGCTTGGCGTGTTGCTAGGCAGCCTTGAGAGTCCAGATTGGATTGCCATTGGTGATAGGCAATCTCCGGTATCATGACTTTCAAGGGAGGCATCTCGATGTTCAAAAGCTGGTCCGTCATCCCTGATATTGTCGAGATGAAAAGAGTAATCGTGTTCTTCGGCGGCGGGCATGGCGAAGTCGTACTCCTCCTCATCAACTGGTGCCTGATGATTGCGCTTCCAGACGTTATGATAATATCTGGTTATGACCTGGTCTTGATCGCGCTCCTTGGTATCCTCAAGCATGTGATAATAGAATTGATCAAGCGTGCGTCGAGGATGGACCGGCGGTTGATTGTAGAGGTAAGCACATAGCATCTTTTCGTTCTTGCTCCAATTTGGGTTCTCCTGTATGGCCTTCAAGTCCGGGATGCTTCTGTGTGACTGCTCGGGGCTGTCGAGGTTATCGAGATCGTTTTTTCGGCCCAGCCGAACTGTCTCCATTACATAATTCATCTCAGCCCTATTCTCTTCCGTTTCCCAATGGACGAAAGGTATGTGTAAAGCCAATGCACTTGACAACCTTTGGGTTCCATCTCTATCCAGTGTCATGTTTCGACAGCTAGGTAAAGGGGGAGTCAGCAATTGCTTAATTGGGATTGTTTCGGGAGAGGACATTGTCTTAGGAAAATCTCATGGAACAGTCATAAATAGGAAAGGGTTTCTCCCCCAACACCTACAATGCTCTTAGCGCACGAGACTGCGGGCGAGGTTCCAACGAAACTGGATGTGTGTGGTCTTGATGAACAATCTTGAAGGGCTCTCGAGAAAGAATCAAATCTCGCTTTCTCTGTTCATCTGGACTGCGCCGTTCGTAGATTCTGCGAATCAAATCCTCAGCCCATCCAAGATGATTAGCTGGAATGTGATACCATCTACAAGTTGCTAAAGAGGCGGCACCGGAACCTTTCGCAATGGAGGCAACCCCCTGAGAACCGTACAAAAGTTCGTCGAGGGATGGCGAGGGCGAGACGATCCGATGGCCACCATTGGGACGGAAATCGAATTCAACGACTGGAATCTCGAAGCCAAATCCCGGGAATCGGACATGTTTCTGCTGAGTTCCAATTTCCTTTTGAGGGTTTGGAAGAGGTAGATTTGCAAGTAGATTTTGTAAGGGGCCTGGAACCCATTCTCCTCTCTGCTGGGCGGCCCGTCGTTCATCATTCGTTTCCTCCACCTTCTCTTTGATAGTCTCGGCACTTCCAACAATCAACCTGAAAAGGTGATCGACATCTTTCAACGCATCTCTGCTAGGAACCGGAGAGGATGATTGAGTCGGCTTTATATCCTCACCTGTGTTCTCCTCAGGCTCTGATGTCATTTCGGCACCTGCGAAAGTCTGAACCCGTTGAGAAGTTGTGTTCTCGTGATGATTAATCTGGGCCTCGCGATCGTATAGATGCCATCTTCCTAGTTCTAATTTCGCGATCCTCTCTTCGTCAGGCGACAACGGTTTTGCTTCATTGTTGAGCAAGATCCTCACGATGGAGTCGTGGCCTCTTGAAGCGGCACAATATACAGCTGTTCTGTCCCTGGAATCTCGAGCATCAACGTCAAAATTACCCGACTCCAACAGCAAGTTGACAATTTCTTCACTCCCTTCTAATGTTGCAGTATGAAGAGGATTGCTGGATGTATCATCGATAGTCGGGTCGTCCGACAAGAGTTGCTCTACACGATTGACATCGCCATCCTTAATGGCAACTTGCAGAGCCGTTTCGTCTGGAGCATTCGGGGTTTTGACAGGGTGTGCCTGTGCATGATAGGCGTGGAAATCTCCATGGTCTCGTGTTTTTGACGATCTTCTGCGGCGGTTCTTGGGTCTGGATCTTCTCTTTTTCCTCGAAGTTCTTGGAATGCCATCCTCGTGCTCTTGTACAGCTGCTAAGTTAAATGAAGACGATGGATCCGGTGTGGAGCCAGAGGCCTGAGATGACCTGGAGATTCTTCTGCCGAGTACCTGTGCAATGGAAGGCCGCCTGAAAGAAGGCTGTGGTGATGCATTGCGCGGTCTTGCCAAATCGGCAGAATGATCCCGGATAGGCTCCTCGAAACCAATAGACCCGCGATGAGCACCTTCATTTGAGGTGCCGCTGTTCTTCCGATTCACGCTGAAAGCAAGAGTACCCGTGGTGTTTTCCGCAGATGGGCGACCCTCGAGGCTACGCGCCATGTCTGCGTAAGATCTGGTAAATGGTTGCGACATGGTCGATGATTTGTGCAGCAGATGAGAGATCCGCCAATCACTGCTGTAGGCGACTATGATACGATTGAGTAAATCGTGATAATTGGTCTAAAGTTAGGTCTTATGGAAGCCTGTGTGCAACATTCTCATTTGAAGTCCTGGGGCGAAGAGCCTCATCCTCTGAAGCCTTGCAGATGCCCAACTACAGGCTCATCATCCATGCCAGCTGAACATACCTTGTGCCCCGCTTCATATCCAGAGCCTTCTCAATGGCATACTTCAGAACGGGGGGGTTTTCTTTCCCGTGCCGTGGATCTCGAATCTTTTGGGAGGGCTGCACAAAATGGCGTTCCAGCGATCCAATGACTGGAGCTGATACCGTCTTCGTGGAACGTGGGCACGACACTCTGTATTTGATTGGCAAACCTGGTACTCAGAGGCCTCGATGGTGTGCAGAGGAGTGTCTCTGACACATAAGGCTGAGTGGCTCTTGGTGGGATGTCCTGGTGGGGAGTTTGCCCTGTTGAGCGAGGTGTTGGAGGCATTGTGAACGGACGAGCAGATATCATGATAGACTCTGCGGAAGAAAGCAAGGAGTATGCGATCATATCATGCGGGAAGAATAGTATCGCAATGAAAGAATGTAAAAGGATGAAGTCGCGATGGATGGGAGATGAGGTGTTGCAGTTAGGTTCGCTAGCGTCGGTTGAGATTGAAACACGCCACACTTCACTTCAACTCAACTCGTTACTACTTTAAGCGACGTGAATATGAAGAAATAAATTGCGGCTAGAAGGTTACAGTGCTTTTATTGTTCGTAAACCGTGTTCGCTGATAAGAATACATCATTATATCTTCATATCCTGCCATCGTTGTTATGGATAGCCTCCAATCCGTCCCTGCGCCCTTTCCCGAGCCCGCTATAATAAAATTATACAGAATTAAAATGCGCATTAGGTTCTGGCTTCGTATAGAAAACGCTTTCTAGAGCGTCTCGGATCTCAAATTCCTCCAAGACAGCGCCAAACCTAAATCCCGTCGGCATTGGCACAAAGAAAGACAGTGAAAGACATACCCGTAACACCTGACTTTACCGCCCAGTTCTTGACACATATTCTCAAAGTCTTCGGTTCGTAATTCGGAGAATCTTGGATGCGCCAAGACCATACCCCATGCCATGACAGGAGTGATCTCGCCATCCAGGTTAAGTCTTTTGCTTAGGTCGAGTAGGTTTGCCAAATCTGGTTTTGAAAGATCCCATGTCTTCGGGGCATTGCCGTTCATATGGTTTGGGCCGTGTCCAAATGGTACTTCTGGGTTATTCTCGACGAAGGGATCGGGGGGACAGGAGGCCATGAGAGCGTGACCACAAGGATCGCCTTCGGGTTCACTCGCTCGTTCGACAAGAAACTGCATATGATCCATACAAGGGCGTTCGAGCCTGTGTGTTGTAAAGTTGCCGTTAGCTTCTAATGGGGAGGCGACAAGTATGCATTCGAAGGATCGCCGTACGTTAAGACGAAGTCAATGCCTGCTTGATCATAGTCCACCCCTTGTTGAACCTGTTGTTGAGCTGTACTCCGGCCATGGCCATTCATGGAGAGATCAGGAGAAGCCGAGCCTAGGAAATTAGGATTCGAGTTGGCCTGGATTGGAGGTGGGCTGTACCCTTGGGATCCGGGCGCGTAGCTACCAGATATACTACCACTTGATGTATAACCAATACTGGGATTCTGCACAAGCTCATCTACCCCACCAGTGCCGCCCCATGGTATGCCATGTTGAGCAAGAAGTTGCTTCAATTGTCGGTTCTCCTCAGCGAGAGTTTCTTTGTCGCGCGAGACATTGCTAAAGTTCTCCTTCAACCGAAGAACTTCTTGCTCGAGGGCCTTGATATATAATTCCTTCCGCTCCCGGTGTGTCCTACGCAACGTTAGCCATGCAGACTGCATGCGTCGCGTGCCTACTTGCCGTTGAGCTTGTCGGTTGAGTTCTTGTCTCCTTGTTAACGCAGGTTTGCTGTCGGGCTTCGGTCCTCTCCTCTTCGGCTGTTGGCCATCGACTGAGCGACGTCAGTGTGCGGCACATCGAGCTTGGGAGGGGTCACTCACCGCGAGTGTTCTTCTTCTCAGTCAAGTTCTTAAGGAATCCCAGACTCATGGAGAGGGGGCTCTTCCCGCTATCTGACTGGCCGCTCCCATATCCACTGCCTCCGGACTTGTTGCCATATTGATCGGGGGGCGATGCCGCAGACATGGCTGCGGGACTGCGGGACGAGGCTGAGGTCTCCCAGGACTCAAGCGCAGGCGTCTGCTGGTCGCTCTGATTTCCATTAGCCATGTTCTGCTGTCTGCTACGATGGTGATTCATGTCGTGGTTTGATAGGAGAGGGGAGGTTGGCCGTGGCTTCGCACGCCGGCTAATTTGGAATGCAGTGCATGACTTACCAGCAAAACGGTATTTGGGACCGACCGTCAGACTGCAGTTTGGGCTCGTTGAATGGTGGGTAGAAGCTCGCTCTGGGGATGCGCGGGGGCGATTGAGGTATTTGGAATTGCGAGTTGGAGGCCTCAGGGAGAGTCCAGACGCTGGATGGGCTTGATCGTCGCAGGGATTGGATTCGAGGATGGTTCAGCAAAGAAATCGGACGAAAACAGTGTGCAAGAATCAGGCGAAAGCAGCGTCGACAAAGTTTGCTCGGCGTGAAGTCTGCGGAATTGGAGAGCTGTTGGGTTGGTCTGCGATGAGCTCTGTCTAGTTGCTTCCTTGCTTCTCCGTGGGATATCGGCGTAAAAGTAGTCGAGCTCTAGTTGACACACACGACACCAAACATCCGGCTATGACCCCATTCCGAGAATTTGGGGCAGTGCAACGAGAAATGATCCCTACCTGGCTGAAAATCGAGATCTATCGTATTTGGTGATGATGAGTAACGGCAGAGAGTTGGGTAAGCAGGTGGGGCGATGAATGGGTGATGAATGTGTGGTGAAGGGTGCGCTGTTGGGAGGTCGCGAATGAGAAGCAGCAGCGGCCGCCCGCGAAGCATTTCGGCTGATGCTCTAACTCGTGGACCCCGTGGTGTTTCGCACGCCTGCAGTTCCTGCTGCTTCACGCCTCCAACGCCATCCAACGCCCTCCCATCAGCGATGCCCAATTCGGGACGTGGTGCCCCGCCAGACCTCGACCAGTGCCGAGGACCCCCATGGACCCCCTTCACACAAACCTGGTCTTTGGGGAGCCTCATGCCGAGCGACCTCAGAATACGAGCGTCTTCTGCATCGCCGTTCGCTCAATACCAGAACCAGCAACCTTATATCAACGTAAGCGGAGGTGGCTCAGACAGCCAGACTCCCGTTGAACGGGCCAGAGGCAGCGGGGAAGAAGGGCCTGGCGGGAAGTGTGCCCAGTGAGGCCTGGTGGGACTAGCGAGGACTGACGGCCGTGCATGCTGCACATATGCGTGGGACCAACAGCACACAGGTCCTTACCGCTAGTTACACAGCACAACACCTTGGACCCTTCTTTCTCCTTATCCAGAAGGTCAACTCTCCATCATGGCCGCGGGAAAGTGGTTGACGGACCTGCGGGGTTTATTGATTGTCATACCATGGGCGCTCTCCCTAGTCGTCATGGACCTGACCCTCTCTTTCCTCCTACCAATCAGTTACCTTTTTCCTAATTGGGTTTACAACGCCTCGTCCTTCATCGCCTTTGCCAATTGGAACTGGATCCAATGCATCTTCGAGGTCTTCAACGGGGGGAAGATCACCATGTCTGGTGACGTGCTGCCAGAGGGTGAGTCTGCCATCGTCATTGCAAATCATGTAAGCTGGACGGACTTTTATATGATCCAGGCACTGGCTGTCCGGGCAGGTATGCTGGGCCGATGCCGCTGGTTTGCCAAAATCGAACTTCGATGGGTACCTCTACTGGGCTGGGGCATCTGGGCTATGGGTATGCCCATGGTGAGTCGCAAGTGGACAAAGGATAAGAAAGAGCTGGACCGTGTCTTTGCTGGCATCACGGTGAGAAAGTGGCCAACATGTAAGCGCAGCCCCGCAGCACTCTAAACCTGACTGCTAACCATCATCTAGGGCTTATCAGCTTCAGTGAAGCAACGAGATACACACCAAAGAAGGCCGAGGCCGCCAGAGTATGGTGCAAAGAGAACGACAGACCGATGCCGAAACATCTCCTCTATCCCCGAACAAAGGGCTTCGTCACCACGGTCCAACACCTGCGGAAGGCGAAGCACGTTGTGGCCGTGTACGATGTGACGATCGCATACCAACATAAGCATAAGTTTTTGGAGGCTCCAACGATATGGGAGTCCCTAAGTTGTCCCGTTTTGAGTGGGAAGAGAGGATCCAGAGTCCATGTCGATGTTAAGAGGATACCACTGGTGGACCTACCAGAAACAGATGCCGAGCTGGCAAAGTGGTTAGAGACAAGATGGATGAAAAAGGGGGGGTTCTTGGAGGGAAAGAGAGAGGAATGGTCGAGGTCCTGAAGCCGGCCAATGAGGCTGAGCGTGCCAAGTGGTCACGTGCCTCGCGGCGCAACTGCAAGTTGAAGCTGTTAGCAGAAGCCTAAAATGCGACTGAGAGAGTTCTTTGTCTATCGGCCTTTGAGCGCACAATCTATCCCTAAATGTCGTTCCCAAAATTCAAATATAAAGAATAAAGAATAAAGAAACACTCAACCTCCAGCCCAAACCTCACTTCATTTCTCTCATTTCTTGTTGCTTCTCAATTCAATTACACATATCACTGGGAGAGAAGTCGCAACACCAATTGTGTTCTACTCCTAGTCCAAACTTGCCGGCATATATTTCACAACATTGAACATGCCATTCCACTCCCCATCCTTCCAATCAAACCTCATGCCTTCCTCCTCTCCGCTTTTGCCCCCACACGACACTTCCCGCCAAGCCCGTCCCTCCATGGACATCTCCTTCCTCGACCTCCCCTCCCCTTTTCATGCCACCTCCTTGTCCTTCACAGATTGCTCGCCACCAGTTTCCCCCTTCTCGCCTTCCCAATCGATACCGAGACTCACCTCCCAAAAGGGTAGATGTCAACGCTCTACAGTGTGGTGGAAACCAAACCGTCTGCCAAGAACTGACGAAGGAGTAGAGGAGGGGCTATTAACTCAAAGCAGCATGGGTAGTCTATCGGAGGAAGGGAGATGGACAGCGAGGAGGGTAGCGAGAGAGAGGGTTAGGGGACCGCTTGAGGTGTTGGTGTTGTTTGGGGTAGCCATAGTGTTGATTGGGATTGTGGTTGTCTGCATACGGATGGGTGGGGTTGTAAAAGCGCCTGGGGAGCATGGAGTGGAGACGGCTATGGGGATGATGGGAGAGATGGGGTTGGGGCCAAGGGTTTGAGTGAGTGAGGTGGGAGGATGGGCGATCAGGAAGGAGGGGCCGGTCATGAATTCAATCAAAGTAACGCTGATTTTGCTTTCTTCTCAATATTTGAGCTGTTTTTCATGATCTATCACCAAACATCTTGAATCAACATGGATGGCAACTTCTCTCATTATCCCAATGTTTATACGGGAAGCATTTATCGAGTTGGACATACTCGGATCCCGAATCTAGCTGTCCGTTTTGGGAAAGCGATTTGAACAGCTCTCTGAGCTGAAAAGCTGGATGCAGCAATGTATTAAATGGTATCCTGTCGCGTAAAATTCCTTTCTTGACCAGCTTAAGATACAACTTGTGCATATATATTTGTGCCAATCAATTCAACCGTAGCCGTGATCATCAAGTCATAACCGCTCCTTCACATGCTTTACACCACGCTACTTGTCGACGTTTGCAGCACCTCAACCTCCTCCAACTCAACCCCTTCATCCCTCTTCCCATTCTCCTCCCTCACCTCCTCAAACCCCCACCATCCCGTCTTCTCTTCCTTCTTTGCATATTTCCCCCTTACCCCATTCAGCCACCCACTCACCCCGGGATACGCAAACGGAATTAGCACAACCAGCACCGTGAGCGGCAGCGCCACAGCCCACAACATCCAGAAATTCCTCGCGCCAGGACCGTACTGCGTCTGTATTCCCAGTACCGTAGCGACTGTCTCAGAAGGCAGGAAGATTGTAGCGACGAGCGTGAGGAACGAGATTCCCCTGTTCTCACGCAAGCTTTGGCGCCCTTCGCTGATAGCAACGAGGGCCATGAGGAGACTGATATCCTTCTCGATTCGGGAGATGGTGATGCCCATGTTGGCAAGGACGTACTTGAAGTCCTCTTCGAGGTCATGAGCATATCGTTCGGCGAATGTGGCATCGCCGGTATTTCCCTGTGATGTTGTTTTCGCGGAAGGCCACAAGGCCTGGCCCCGTTTTTCACACTGCGAGGCAGCTTCTACCACTAGTTCGTGGTCTTTGTTGCAGCGCCTGCGGATCCTGTAGAGCTCTTTGAGGTGCTGCTCTAATTCCTGAAATGTCGGTTCTTTGTTTTCGAGGTGGCGTTCGATATTCGCCAGCTCGCGTTTGACGTATTCGTCCACAACGACCCATTCTGAAGCAATGATTCTGTAGCCTTCGTACAAGGCGAGAAAAGTATTTGTGGCGCATGTGTTGATGTACGTCTCGTCTTTGAAACATCGTTGCTTCAGGGAAGAGCAGAATGCTTTTTTAAAACTCTGCCGGATCGCGTCGCCGTCGAATTCATCGTCCCCGTTGGGTCGTAGGTTGGGGTTGCGGTACTCCGGCGGGCCTAAGACGCCGTACTTTCCTCTCAGTTGAAACGGTCTATCGAGTAACATTATCGCTGTAGAGGTAAGCACATGGCCCAATCGACCTGACTTGGTAAACGTACCTATCCAGCCGTTGCAGTTCATTTTCTTCTTGCACCATACACTAAAACATTGTCTTGTAAATGCAATTGGAGGGAAGTTGTCCTCTGGCCCCGTGATTGGCTGTAATCTCCCTGCCGAATGGCCAAGTCTTGTGTTCTTCATATCCGGCCATATCACACTGCGCGCACGTATGCTGGCATCATCTTCTTCGTAAAGCTCCCGAGTTGACACGTATCGTAGCAACAGGAAGTCCTCTGCATTCCTGGTTGAAGGAAGTGAAGTCAGTCTCTCTGGCACCTTCTCACGCATCTGGTACCATGAAAGAACATTTGTGTATTGTGCAAAGAACTGCGGGTCGATATCGTAATACCCACCTAAGAGGGTAAGAGTGTCCGAGCAGATATTTTCAATAATGATCAATTGAGACGATGGAGAATTATCCGCCAGGGATGGCAACCGTCCAACGAGATCATGTGGGTTCTGCAAATCTGTAATTGAGAATTCTGATGAAAGGTCTCCCTCTCCAGGTATGTTGACTATCGATATATCCGGGGGGATGTTACAAGCTGCACCTTCTTCGAGTATCTTTTGCAAAGCGCCAGTGGAGAAATGACACGAATATCCATTTTCGATGAATTTCCCCAAAGATTCCAACCCAGGCCAAGGGGTAATCGTGTACTTCGACAATCGTTTTATCCGTTCGCGATACCTGTTTCTAATCTCATGTGATTGAATTGTAGATGCCATCCTTGTAGCGGCCACCGCTCTCGATGCAAGTAAAAAAAAATAGCAAAACACAATTGAAAACTAGTCACCGATGATCTTGGGCTTCGAACTTAATGTATGCCCTATTAGAAAGCATTATATAGGACGGGACGTGGGCGTGGCTGAAAAGAGATAAAATCGATAAGCCGATATGCAGCCACAGCAAGCAGGCTACCGAATTGTCCATGCGAAGAACGACTGAGGCCCTCTGGCGCTTCTGAACGTGATTTTGACTGGACAACGACTTTCTCGTCCACACCCTTCTTGTGTAACACTTCCAAGGGCAGCCAATTCAATAAATAAGTACTGACAAAGGCGGTGTGCAGAATAGTTTCCCGTCCCCCACACTCACAGCCGCGACAAGTCTGCAGGTGGAGAAAGGCGCCAACTAGTCACGTGGACGTGGAAGCCGGGATTCGTTGACAAGATAAAACGCATCAATCAGCTTGAAATATCGAAGGCCATATGAAAAATTCACGACATCATAGCCTTGGAGTCTTGCTTCTCTTATCCCAGTTTCAGCATAGTCACCCTTTCTCACTTCAACTTCCGAGAGCTTTTCACCGATGAAGCCTTACTTTCAAGGGAGATTGAGAAATTGTTCCAACCGCAGGAGGTTGTATTCATTCAAACCGCATGCGTTTGACGAACTGAACGATATGGTTGAACGGGTATTGGTTAGGAAAGGGGTTGAGAGGTGTCATTTGCTGCTGTTATCGCCCTGCCCAGCTACAGACTATTCACTCTGTACCGCCGGGAATCACTTGACATTCATCTATGCTCAGATTTAGTCGCACATTTAGCCCCTAGCGCCGCTCTCCATGGCTCGATACTCGGTGAGCTATTGAGGAGAGGGTTGAGTCCTATAACACCCCTAAATAGAAAATTGTGATATAAAGTAACGCGTAACCTTAAAGTAAGCATAAGAAAAAGTGACCAATCATTCTTTATAGACTGCAAGGCTGGGCGTAGGTTGTGAGTTAGAGTGGGAACTACGCCACGGCATACGCGGACGATGATTCTCAGCCTTGCTGCGTCCTACGCGCACCCCTCCACGTCACCACCAATATGGCAAGAAAATTTCACCACCCTCTTTAATTTTCATGATGTCTTGAATTGTGCATCCTTCCTAGGTGTTTGATCGTCTTGATGCATGCAATAATCTAATGTCTTGTTAATTAATTCAATTCGAACCTCTTGAGGACATACCTTGCTTCGACCAATCAGCATCCAGCAAACCTCGACTTAGCACCACCATCTTCTAAACACAATGAAGCATCAAAATCATGGGAGTTTCTTACAGCGCACTCCGTGAAAAGGATGAGATCCGTCTCCTTCGAATCGAACCCGGCACTGGCTCCGCACAGGTGAAATGCAGCCTCGTTCACGCTCGACTCCGTGAAAGTCCAACATACGACGCCGTTTCGTACATGTGGGGACTCGACCACGGCCCCGGGAGTACTAAAACTACCCTGCTGGCCATAGACGGCGGTCGGACAATGGAGGTGCAAGAGAATTTGGGGAGCGCGCTGAGATATCTGCGGCTGCGAGATAAGGCCAGGGTGCTGTGGGTTGATGCGATTTGTATTAACCAGGCAGATCCTACAGAGAGAGGACATCAGGTTGCGCAGATGGGGATGATTTATTCGCAAGCAACGACTGTGAGAGTTTGGCTCGGTTTGCCGGATGAACTTTCCCCAAAAGCTTTCCGATTTCTGGAGAATCCGGGAACAATCAGGAGGATGAAGGAGGGAATAATTGAGTTGGATGGTTGGGAGGCGGTTGCGAGTTTGTGTAAGAGAGAGTATTGGGATCGGCTGTGGATTATCCAGGAGTTGGTTCTCGCGGCTCGAATCGAGATCCATTGTGGTGTGAGAGTGCTGCCGTGGGAGCTTTTCAGTAATGCGCTCTTTGCTTTGGAGGCAGGACTCCAGGCATTCGCATGCGTTTTGACTCCGTTTCGAGCAGGCGCTATTATAGCGAGAGTCGTGGACTCCGCAGCTATGAAGATCTGTCGACAAAGGCGTGCCCATACGGAGAGCGGCCCAGTAACAGAACTTGCTTCCCTCCTGTCTTTGTTGTGGATCCATAAAGACGCCAAGTGCGTGGACATCAGAGACAAAGTATTCGGTATGCATAGTTTTGCTCCTGAATGCTGCAGACTGTGTGTACCAGTCGACTATACATGCTCCGCTTACACATTGTGCCAGAGGCTGTTGGAACATGATATCCATTTCCATTCCGATGGGAGACGCAATGGTGGCAGGGATAGACTTGTTCGTCAGTCACTGAACCTTCATGGCCTCATTGTGAAGGGCGCGTTGAATCAGATTCATTCGAAGAACTCCTTTGAAGTTGGAAGTCCGGACTTAGAAGCAGAAATCCAAGAAGGAATACCAAGTTCTCAGACGCCAAGTCCGATCATTGTTCTCGGGAATGAGTTAGGACGAGTCGCCTTTGTCACAGCTCCGCTGAAGCCCTTATTCGTCGAAGATGGATCCTTAATTGTACCACGTGCAATGGTTGATTCGTTCCAGGAGATGAGATTCGGATTCGAGGAGAGCGAAACGCCGGCCTTGACGACCCGGATAACAAGAGCCCTCCGACAAATTTGGAGGAACAACGAAATGGATATACTTTCGAGGCCAGGAAATAAAACAGCGCCGATCTTGGAAATGGTGGATCTGCACCGCCCAGAGCTGCAGGATGACCCCGCTATCCATGGCCTGCAGACATTTATGAAGTTTTGCTGCGAATTCCTCCGAGCATCAGACTTCTTGGGCGCTAATCCACAGTATGGAGATTGCCAAATGTATCTGGCAAGAGCTGGAATCGAAGATGGGTTCAGCTGGAAGGTCGGGTTTGCTCCGGTAGGAACGGAAGTTGGAGATTCGGTGTGCAGCTTCAAGGATACAAATATCATTGCCATTGTGCGCAACATTGGTGGTGATCATACCATGGTTGGCCAAGGCTCGACATTAGCTCCTCCACAATCGAAATCAGCGCCCCAGACCGGTAATGTTGTGAATATTCAATTTGATCTTTCGAGACTTCAAATGTTTAGCAGAATTCATCAACCATTTGAATTACCCGATTACCGCGTTGCCTTACTTATGCCACCAAAGTCGACCAACAGATCTCGTGGCCTTCTGGTCGAGAGGAGAAATCCTACAGAAGTGTCGCCTAGCTCAAAAGGACAACATGTTTCCACTACATCATCTCACAACAACACCGAACTAGGACAACCACAGAACGGTAAAGAAAGGCCCAGTTCTTCTCCAGAGGCTTCCGACTCTTCAAGGAGGAAGGGAAAGCAACCTGCAAGAACGTACTCGTGTCTAAGGTGCAGAGCAACCTTTGAGACCTCAAGGGACAATCTCATTCATGCGGCTACGTGGTCGCATCAGCAATGCAATAAGTGTCAACGATGGAAATCATGGCAGTCGAGTACTTCGACCACATCGACAACACCAATTTGCGCCCAGTGCAGTGTAGAAGATACGGGCTATGTTTTTGATCTGCCAGGCAGGCCCCGGGAGGCAGCACGGATTTCTTGGCAGACAGATGCCCTCAGCGATCGGACAGACGACGGTTTCCGAGATTCTATCATCACCCAGTCAGATGACATGTCATCCAGTGCCACGACAGTATCAGAAATAATAACGGAGTGTTCTGACGAGACCTATACGAATATCAGGGAAATATGGAGGTCATGTATGCTTGCAAATGACGGGCCATTCTTCCGATGAAAACCCAAGACTTGTTGGTCAGATGGGAATGGAGGCAAAAGCAGAGGATCGAGCTTGTACGAGGGTCAGCGAGGACAAAGAAGCTCCAGATATGAAGCAAATAAGAACGGAGGCTCGTCTTTGGGATAAGGCAACTCTGGCCCGCTCTGGGCAGTCACTCTCACATCACTCATCCGGCGATGAAGGTGCAGCAACGGCCTGGACCACAGTTCGATGGCCTTCAAGGCATCGTGCATGCAGGCTTGCACAGCCTCACAGCTCCTGCTGCAAGTACAGGCTCTCGTAGCAGGCCTCATGTTGGGACTGCTATCGTCAGCAAAACATGACAAGATATCTGAGGGTCTGAGGAAGATAGATCAAGGACTCCACATTTACAGTACTGTACAAGGGAGACCGTCGAATAGAGGTACACAAAGCAAAATATATGAGCAATAAAACTCTTGTGCATCTTCCCACTATGCAAAGTTTACGTGTGTATGCGAGCATGGCGATTGAGAAAGTTGAAATCAAGTCTCAGGGGGCGAACACTCGAATGAGGACGTGGTCACATGACATACAAATTGACAGGGGCCCACCAACCCACCCCGCTAAACTCCCACAGAAATATTTGCGAACCACGAAACCCACGAACTTCCCCAAAACACGTCGCAACCATGGCGCCAATATCACTTTCAGATATCATTTCCTCTCTACCATCGGAGGACTCATGGGGCCCACCAACATCTACGGAAACGACCCTAAATGGCGTTCCCTACGCCCCATACTCGAAAGGCGACAAATTGGGTCGCATGGCAGACTGGACCACCGAGGGCAAGGATGGACGAGATGGCAGAGGTGGGAGACAACAATACAACCGAAACTACAGAGGTATAATTTTGCGCCTCATATCTATGCTGCCATATATTTGCTACTCTTAATACGTATGGAATTTCTGTAGTAGACGCTGACTGACTTCTGCGGACAGACCAACAAGTTTATGGCGCCGGAACCTCTTCTCTCTTCGCTGTGCAGATGGCTGAAGATGAATCTTCTTTCTCTGTTGTCAGTAATACTCGTGATACGGCGAAGACGCGGTTTGGCCGTGGTGGAACCTTTACTCGAGGGCGGGGTCAACGTGGTGGACGGGCAGATACCAGAGGCGGACGAGGACAATTCCAGAGAGTTGGAGGACGAGGTGGCCAACAAGGTTACAACAACTATAATGACCGAGGAGGGCGAGGTGGTGCTCGTGGTGGGCGGAGATTTGGCTGGAAAGATTACGACAAGCCCCAACGAAATCGCGATGCGTCTGTTAATATCAAGCCGGACTGGAAGATGCTGGAGGAGATTGATTTCAATCGTCTGGCTAAGCTGAACTTGGATACGGATGATGGAGAGGACATTGAGAGTTATGGTTTCCTTTACTACTACGACCGGTCATTCGACAAGCAGCCTGTTAAGACTGCGGAACGGAAGTTGAATGTCGTGGATCGCGCAGCCTATAACGTTACTACCTCCTCGGATCCTGTCATTCAAGAACTTGCAGAGAAGGATGAAGCTACTATCTTCGCTACGGACAGCATTCTCTCGATGCTTATGTGCTCTCCTCGATCGGTTTACCCCTGGGATATTGTCATTGTTCGACAAGGCAACAAGGTCTTCCTCGACAAGAGAGATAATGCTACGTTGGATATGGTCACCGTCAACGAGAACGCAGCCGATGCACCAATGGATGCATCAGATGGAAGCAAAGATGCTATCAACCAACCGAGTGCATTGGCTGAAGAAGCAACCTACATCAATCATAACTTCGCCAACCAAGTCATGATCGAGAACGAGAACCAAAAGGTTGAGATGGCCCACGAGAACCCCTTCTACAACCCAGCCGAGGAGACTGAGCCCGCAGCCAGCAAAGCCTACAAGTACCGAAGATTCGACCTGTCACTCAACGACGAAGATCCAGTGCACTTGATTGTCCGAACAGAGCTCGATGCTGTCCAGAAGAACGCGATCAGCGGAGAAGACCAGTTCCTGACCGTCAAGGCTTTGAACGAATTTGATCACAAGGCTCAAGGAAGCGGTGGTGCTTTGGATTGGAGAACTAAGCTGGTCAGCCAGCGTGGTGCCGTCGTAGCGACGGAGATGAAGAACAACTCGTGCAAGCTTGCTCGATGGACTGTTCAAAGTATCATGGCTCGCGCTGATGTTATGAAGCTTGGGTAATTCTCCATTTCATGTATGAAATGAGAAAGGCTAATGGTTTGAATAGATTCGTCTCCCGCGCCAACCCCAAGACCAACGACCGCCACGTTATCCTCGGCGTCGTCGGCTGGAAGCCTCGGGACTTCGCATCGCAGATGAACCTCTCGCTCTCAAACGGATGGGGTATCGTTCGCACGATCGCTGATATGTGCCTCCAACGCCCGGAGGGCAAGTACGTTCTCGTCAAGGACCCAAACAAGCAGATCTTGAGACTGTATGAGGTTCCGGCTGGCAGCTTCGAGGATGACGCTGAGGGGGAGATTATTGAGGAAGTTGAGGAGGCTGAGGAGTAGGTGTTTGATGTAAAGAAAAGAATGGTACATTGTCTTCTGGGCTGGATCGGTCTGGAGGCTGGCGTTAATGCAGGCATAGCTTAGAAGGAAAATCAAGCCCGTGTTTCCCAGCTCGCAAGTGCCAACCCATAATTCTGTCTTCTTGTGTTCAATTCCAATCCTGAAATGGTACAAATCTTCAATCAGACTTACCATTCCTTTCCAACACAACTGCGACTTTATCTGACCCGATTCCAGGCAGCCAAATAAAGAATTGAGTTGGCTGCATGAACTCTCCACGATCACTGGTCAAGTGAACCACCCCTCATACAGCGGCCCAATCACAGGCCTGAGCCACGCAAGCACTCACCCCTCCATTATCTGAACCGAGCCGAACCTCATCCCATCTCACCCTCAAATAAACTTCTGTCGATCTTCAGCCTCCCTTTTCCGTTCTATTGATTTTCTTCTTACTTTTGAGCGCCAAGGAGTTGTAACTGGAGGCGTCTTTGAAGTGATCATATCCCCTATCGTCGCGCTCCAAAATGACAAAAAAGAGCTGGAAATCCAAACCACCCCGCTATCAAGATGAAGATCCCGATCAACCCCCTCCTTACACTCACACCCCAGAAGAAACGACACCCCTTCTCTCAGAAAATTCATCCTACCCATCCTCATGCTACGCCTCCTCCTCTTCCTCACAGCCTCTCTCAACACCATCCTCCACCTACGCCCCTTCAACGTCCGGCTCCTCCAGCCTCCCCTCCGACTTCCCAAAGAGAAATCGTACTCTCCGCCGCGCATTTCGCGAACTGAGAAGGGACTATCTCATCGCGACGTACCATCGCGCACTTGATGTAGTCTCTGCACGTGGATGGCGACCGGGGCTTAGTTGGCCGGGCTCTGTCTCTCCTTCCCACTCACCTTCTCAAGCTGGAGAAGAGGAAGAGGAAAGAAGGGGATACTTGGCTCGACGAAGAGGGGGATGCTCCCAGACCTGGTGCTCTCAGACTCGCAAAAAGAGGAGAAGGAGGAGGGTTATCTTGTGTTGTAATTTGTTGTTTTGGGTTCTTGTTGCGCTTTTTATTGCAGTGGGGGTTAGGCGGTGGGGGTATTTTGGGGGGAGAGCGCAGTTGCCGGGGAGGAGGGAGACGCTGAGGGTTGGGATTGTTGGTGAGTTGATTGCTTTCTTATGTCGGGTTAATTTGGAATTGGGGTAAGAGAAAAAGATAAGCATGGATGCCAAGGTGGAGTCAAATTAGTCGAGGGGGTTGAATGAGATGGGAGACCGCTGGGAAGTTTCTTTGTAGGATCTAAGACCCAGCCTGCTCTACTGAATCTTTGTTTCCTTGAAGGGATATCGGCAAGAGAGAATAGAGAAGAATGACGCTAACTGATGCGCTACAGGTGCTGGCCCCGCCGGAGTAAGTGCAGCACACACACTCTCCAGCTCCTTCAAATCCAAAGACCTCAACCTCGAAATGGTACTCTTCGAACAGAAACCTCAGATAGGAGGACGACTAGTGCTCAACCCTTCTTTTCCAAGGGAACATCTGGGGAGAAAGATTCATGCCGAAGACCTTGCTGCCAGTGAGGTTGGTGGTAATATCTTGCGGGAGAGAGCAAGGAATGTTCTGGGCATTGAATTCGGGCAGGAAGGAGAGGCTAGAGGGAAGGAAGTGGGCTTCTTCGACAGTGGAAGTGTGGTAGCCAAGCTCACTCGACCACTCTCCGAGATGAGCTGGGGCGCGTGGCTAGGCCTGGTATGGAAGTATAAGTTCTCGTTCTTGAATGCGAAGGAACTGCCTAAAGGAACGATGAAGTCTTTCGAAAGGTTTCTGACAAGTAGAGAGACTTTTGAGAGCGTGAGCCATATGGTCAAGGCTGCGGGGATCGAGAGGCCTGTGGGGTTGAGTGCAGCCGCGAGGTTGGCTGTCAATGGTGTTGGTGGAGAGTATGTCCATGAAGTTATTTCTCCCCAAGTTCTAAGACAGACTGGGCAGGATGCGACGGAGTTGAGTGATCTTGCAATTTCGATGGCGTTGGAGAAGGAGGATCAGGTTTCTGGTGGGGATGGTGGGAGTTTCGAAGGCGTTTTGGAGAAGTTCATTGAGCGGAGCGGAGCTGCGCTGAGGCTGGACACCGAGGTTACTGGCCTGAAGAGAGAGTTGGTTGATGACGGGAAAGAGGCTTGGGTTCTCGAGCTCAAGAAACCTGGACACCACGCCCTTGAGTATGAGGTATTCGACCATGTTGTCCTTACCGGCCCCAGCTCGCTGCTGCCCAAGCACAAACATCCCGAAGACGAAGTATATTACCGCTCTTTATGGGTTACCTTCCTCCTCTCAACCAAAGAACTCAACAAAGAGTATTTCGGAAGCTCCGAGGAAATGCCACCACAGGTCCTACCCATACAGTCAAAAAATCTTCCATCCGAACTCGAGGGCATCCATGAGATATCTTACGTAAGAAATGTGTTTGGACCAGATGTCAACACAGAAGCTGTCAGGAAGCTTTACCGTATCTTCTCTGATCGATCGCTCGCAAAGGAGAACATCTTAGCCTTTGGGGAAGCAGGGGTCTTGGAAATGTGGGAGGAAAATATTGGAAATGCGTATCCTCTAATGTGGCCAAGAAATGGGAAGTTTGGGGAATTCAAGGGAGAGGAGGGGCTGTGGCGTACAGGTGTTATTGAGGCGATTGGGAGTTCAGTTGATTTGAGCTGGGTTGCGGGCGAGAATGTTGCGAGGTTGGTTGCTAAGGAGGTGGGAAGGAAAAGAGCTTCAAGAATCCGTTTCCACTGATGTTGAAGGGAAGAAACATTGGGAGCGCCGCGCTGTTGCAGCGGTCTCTGGTTCAACTGTTCAAGAAAAAACGGGCAACATTTGAATATGTAATTCAACCTTCCCCTCCTCACCAGCAACTTACAACCACATTCATGTCCACTGTTTCGTCCCAAAAAGTTTGTTGATTTCGCATGATCCATTAAACATCTTCTGTTCTTCAAATAGCGAGTTGTTAAGTGTGTATGGTGTGCTTGCTGTTCTTTGAATGGCGAGGTTACACGTAGCTTCCTCCAAAGACTTTGCAGACAGACTTCCTCCACCTCCAGTGTAATCCCACACACTCCACCCTCCATACCCCCAAATTCCCCCCTAAATGGCATCCAAAACACAAACACAAACCCCAACAAGGACAACGCCCCAACTCAACTCCTCCATTCCCCTCCAATCGATATCCGCCCCCTCGACCTCTTCCTCCTCACCCCGCCTCCTCTCCTGCTCCTGCTCCTCCTCGAACCATTGTCGTGCCCCCGGAACCGCAAACATACAGTATATATAGCCAAGCAACAAGACCCAGAAGAGCGTGACGAGGGCCAGGGTCTCTGGCGTGAAGGTGGTGTTGAAGTGGTGGGTTTGGAGGAAAGTATCCATGATTTCTTCTGAAACTTGGAGGATAACACCTGCCATTTTATCCGATCTTGTGGGAATGACCCTTTATGTGAACCTTGGGACGGTAGTCAATTGGTTGGAAAGAGATCGATCAGCTGCAAAAAGTTCACATATTATTTCTGCTCATCGGATTAAACTTAATCCAGGAACTCACGAATTCCATTGCCACTAGACAAACTTGTCTTGTCAAAGCAGCGAGGATTAAATGAAAATTGACTGCTTATCGTCCAAGTGCCGATAACGGATGCCCCTCCTTTGTGAATTCGTGTCTTTTCTAGGACAAAACACCCAAAGCAGAGATGATCTTTCTTCCACCACCATCAACTAAACCTCCCTCCTTGAGACGAAACGGCCACTTCAATAGCGGAGAGCCACTTCCTTGGGGTCAACACCGTCGACGCAGACATCAAACAAGGATGCCTTGCCTGAACCAACGAGTTCAGCTTGTTGGAGGCGGTACCTTTGCCTAGCATGTCTCCGCTGGTCGTGTTGGCCCGGTGGGTAGTTTCTCTGCACTTCATCCGAGGATTTGGCAGATCAATTGGAGACGAAATCTGGTACCGGACTCTCCAATTTCTGCAGCAAATTCAACAAAAACCTCTCTGAAATGTGGTGAGACCTGAGGATATCGCCGACCAGACATCGACGCAACCAATGTTCAATGCCTTCTCTCGTTTTGGCCATTCTGGTCTCTTCTCTACAATCTTTACTCAGCTCAACTTGCCGGCGAATCTCTTCTCACGTCGATCAACGGCCAATTGCACAATTGCACCACGTCCGAGTGATGTCAGCATCCCTCGTGTACAGAGCGTTCCTAGCTTAAAGAACAGTATCCGGTCACTCATCTGGCCTCACCCAAACTCGTTCCCACGGGTGCCTGGACCTGAATTGCCTCTGGCTGAAATGGTAGCCATCCAAGCTCACTCACTGTCTTATTGAAGCTAAAGTAGCAACAATCCTCCACGTGACCGCTTTCAAGCCAATCTCCAACAACATCAGCAACTTCGTCAATAATAGATTCCAGCGACCAGAAACCCCTAGCCATTGACTGTATGTGGGATGGATCTCTCTCTTCCTTTTCCGGGAAGCCACAGTACCATTCTCTGCCTCGAAGATGTGCTGATCCAGATAAAGGAGACTCAACAAACCCAACCAGCCTCCTTCCAAGCCAAAAGCTGTAAGTTCTCTAGATTCCAGATGAAAGGGGTCAAAACTAACAGCCTGGCAGCAACTTCAACCAAATTGCCACGACACCACTGTATTTTAATCCCGACTCCTTTTAGATAAACATTGCGACTGACTTTAGTCCAAAGTCCCAGCGTTGCGTGGAACTAAGCTCGCCCCTGAGCTCGACCTCGAGTCCAGCGCTCCCAGAACTGCTTTACGCCGTGAAGACTGGTCTTTGCGCTGCCGTATGCCGCCGGTAGTATGTAGACCTCTTTGAAGATATGGTGAAAACGGTAATTGTTGTGGTCACGCGGCTAACTTCTCTAGTGTCCGCCTGCTGGAGCACGCCTGTGAGAGCACTTCCCCCTACTGCAAGTGGATGTAAGTTTCATCTCCAATTCTCGCCAATGAGGTGGACGTTCTCGTTCGGAAGACTAACCGATATGTAGCACAGGCGTTTCTGGTCGATTCCAAGCAGACCATCTTCTGGCAGTGTGTTGCGAGTCACGCCACGAAGTCAAGCAGCGGGTGGTAATCAGCAAATCCAGGAGAACGACGGTTTAATGGCCGACCGAACGAACTTGAACGCAGCGATCGAGAAATTCCACTTCCAATTACTCATGCGAGCCTACAACAGCGAAGACGTGTTCTATGTTGCCCTTCATCACCTCCAAGCGAACTGGCCAGGAATGTTCAACAAAGTCATGAATACTACAAGATGCACAGTATGTGTTTTTTCATCTGTGTCTCAATCTAAGAGCACATTCTCTAAATAATGCTGACGGTCAATTATCAGACGCCTATGGAGCCGAGGCGTCGAAAATTCCATAGCTCAAGGGCCAAAACAAGCCCACCCCAAGTGGCAGCAATCAAAATGAACTCAAAAATAGTGCTCAGAACAACTGCGGCAGCCGAATTAGCAATCTAGGGTTTGACGAGGCAATCATCGAAACACTATGCTGGCTACTGACGATGAGCTCTGGAAGGAGTTCAAACAATGTTGAAGGCTCCTCAAGAGCTGGGCAGACCGAACAAGATATGTCGGCTATATCACTACTTTTCATGAAGAATTATGATGGCCATACGAAGGCTTGTGTTGAAGGTCCCAGCAGCAGGGCTAGTTTTCGCAAGAAAACAACGGCGCAACCGTGTGCAATAGCCTAGCCATGATTCCTCTCTAGCTGGACAGCAGATGCAACAACAAGATGGCCGAGACGGCGGTTCTCCTGTTTCCTTCGCTCAGCAAGGAAGCGTTGAAGGTTTAACAGGCAGCATCTCTGGTGATGCCAAGACTACTCTCTGGAAGAGCCTTTGCGCTGGCCCAGAGTTGAGCTTGGCATGGATTCTGACTTAGAGGAGTTCTGCCATTATGCAGCAGATGGTAGCTTCGTGGCACGAGGAGGAGCGGGTGGAGCCGGGTATGAACTGCTCTGGCATCTTGGATACACCATAATGAGCTGGTTGAAGCGCACCGAGGAAATGGGGTTGAGACTTGGTGGTGGGAAATCCGACTCTAGAGATGGCGGGGAAAGAAGTTTGTTGGTGATAGAGAAGAGCAGTGATTTTGAGGACAACTTCGAGTCTACTGAGGTCGAAGAAGGAGCTGCTTTCGAGCGCATGGAGGTTGAGGCTTCTGCTGAGACCGACATGGAAGACGCTCTAGAGAGAATGGAGCTTGACTCTGCTTAGTTGGCTTACAAGGGATGCAGGGCGCTTTAAAGTCAAGGCATTAAGCGCTGCCTTGTAAGACAGTAGCAAAAACCAAGTATTTGAATCGGTAGTTCCTCTCTTGCCGGGGATCCAGAAACCATGGACATTATTCATGACCCCTTCGTTGGTACCTCAGCCAAGCCAAAGTCCGAGGCAAAGTTTTCAGCCATTGCAAGCTCCTTTGTAGCTTTGATCAGAACTTGGGTTCTCTTTCCTCGACCAATAGAGGCAACAAGTAGTACATAGCCAACAAAGGGATTTATCAAACCTTTGACTTTGAGCATACCGGTGATAGTGATGAGTTTTGCTACTCATGTTCACAGTGAGCACGACGAAAGTATGTATTTCAAGCCCACTGTTCTGTCTAACAAAAGATGTTCTGACGAAAGCAACAGTTGAAGTCTCTTTCAGTTCCAGTGGCTCTGGTCCCATCCGACCCTTCAACATTGCCAGCGGTCCAGGTGGAAACTGGGACGGTTTCATCGCAGATCTTGCAGCCCAATTTCATCCTAACACCGGCCACTTCCTGGTCATCTTCCAGCTGCGTGCAATATCCGGCTTCTTGTCGCACCAGACCCGACAATAAGAAGGCTCTGGCGAGACGACAGGAAGTTAGTATAAAGAGAGAATACACAAAAAGGGACGGGTCACTTTTAGCGACATGCTTGATCTTCCTGTGAGTCCAGAACAGGGTAGCGACGGACCAACAATCAAGAAGGAGGCCCACTCCACTCTCGTCCCATGTCATGCATTTTGTATTAGAGGGAGTTTGGCTGATGATGTTTGTCTCTGTACACAACACAATCATGTACTATAGATGCGACGAATAATAAATGATTGCCATCAGACTTTCTGAGATAGAGGTGAAGAAGCGACGAGAATAACTAGTCCTGTATGAGGCAGCAGAGCCACAGGGTATCCTTCCAAATCAAAAGTGACCCTTATCTTGAATCAGTAAACCATACAATCTAACAGCCAAACTTCAATTCCTCACCATTTGACACATTCTCCTGTCCATTCCTCAAAGCTGGAGCCCATTCATTTGGCATGTTAGGTGTCAGAAAAATCATGCTCTCTGTGCCGATGTCAGCTTTAAGTTAGGCGGTGAAATAGGGGCATCTCGCTTAAAAGCGGTTGCCGTCGGTCACTTCGGGGACAGCCCCTGAGAATGTCAACAACGGAATTATTGCAGCTCTTTTGGTTACAAATACTGATTTCAAGCGCGCACGTACCAAACCAAGATCCGAGGATTCTTTCCTGTGTCTATGGAATTGCATAGCGCAGTTTGGACTCGAATTTCGCATCTTGAACCCACCGCTACCATCAACTCCAGGATCTGCACGACCTCTGGTCCCGATGCCTATCGCAGCTTAACCGCCCGCCCAGCAATTATTTCGTAACATTTAACAACAACAATTATCTCAAGTCAGACCAGTTAAGTGATTGAGGCATGAGTCTGTATTGGCTATTTAGGTCTTCGGAATACCAAGGGGCGCAATGTGCGTTCAAATCTCGAACCACGAAAACCATCGCCAACATCATCGCTTGAACGCTATCGCCCAATGAGCAAATTTGTTGGAAAATATACATTAGCAGAGGCAATTCTCTACTCTCTAGAGTATATCTATCCATCCAGAGCACGGTCAAATCTCTGTCAAAAACCAAGGTTTTGACGGCCCGCCGGAGATGACAAAAGTGACCATCTCTTCCAAAGGACATCTGGAGGAGCCTTCCATTTGGAATGGTTCATCGGGGGCTGGCCATCCAACAGCCCACACCCCTTCACAGACTTGTCCATGGCTTGACCGGGGACGATGATGGGCTTGAGTGCGCGGCCCTCAGCAATGGTGAAGTAGGTCTTGCCCCGCTCCCCGAAGGGCATCGGGAGCTCGGATGCGAGAAACGCCTTGTCGCCTACTTCCTTGAACTTCCGTATACCAAAGATTTTAAGAGCTGCGAGACCGCGATCAGCAGTCCACTTCTCTGGCTTCTTCTCAGTCTGGACTGGAAAGAAATTCCATGGTCAGGGGGGTGTGATCAATTTAAGGATTGAGCGGAGGGTGGTGCTGTAAGCAATAGAGTAGCCTTGTTGTTACGATCTTCTGAGGCTAAGCCGCGCTTCTTTAGGCGCTCTACCATTGAAACCATTGCCCAGTGCCTCGCCATATATATTATCGCAGACAAGGGCTTTGAATAACTTCATCGAACTCAGGGAACCAGCGAATGGACTTTGAAGGACGGACCGCGTTCGTGACTTCGAGGTAATAGATATATGTAAGCGACTTTCGGCTCATCCCAGGACTCTGCGTGTATGGCTTTGGAGTGTTGTGAACATCATAGCTCTTCTTTCGAAGATTGACTTTGGAGATTGTGTTTTGGCACGCCGAATTAACATGCCATCAAGAGCCCTGGTCCGCTTCTTGAACTTCTCAACCTCTGCAGCCCTGTATATACGCCAGTCAGCCAAGTGCTCTTTATTTGATTTAATGCTTCAATACAACACTGAGAGGACTGACTTATTCCGGACGCTGAACTGTTTGAGGTATGGAGAAAGGGACTTTAGAATTGGAAGACCTCTTTGCCTCTTTTGCAACTCCTTGCTGCTTTTCCCAGAGGCGTATCTCTGTAATTGCTGGCTTGAGTGCCTCCCGATTGATCTTTCCCCTCTCTCCCTCGCATGCGGCCCAATTTTGTGCAAGACACCCATCATCTTTTGCCTGATCGAGTCTCCTCTTTCCGCTGCGCACTCGGTTGAGGCATTTTCAAGTACCGCAAAATATTGTTAGAGGAGTTGCTCCTTATTGTCGTGAAGCCAATCCATATACAGTACAGTACATTGCCCTTCGGAATGCGATGGAAGATTTTGGACTCTTGATGATCTTGCCAATGAAGACCAGAGTGTCTTTCAGTAAATGTCAGAAAATAGTTTACCAAAATTGATCCAATGCACCGGAAACTCCCAACCCAAGATTGAGGAAACAACGAATACCTTCCACTTCGCGGAAACCTCGTCGTTTATGTCGATGTACTCAGAGAAGCGCAAGTCGCTTCAGACTGGAGGCCTGCGCGCTGATAAGAAAGAGAAGCAGCCATGGCTAATTTGTTAATGGAGTGCATGTCCGAGAGGCAGGCATGCAGCTTTTGCGAGGATGGGGAGGGAACCGTTGCTAGCGAGTTTGTTGGGGTCCGGCTAGCCCCAGTTGCAAGCTTTGATGGTACCCCAACGTCCAAGGAGAGGCTTCATCCATGGTCGAGTGTTATATATTCAGTTAGCGGTCGATATATTCATCCGTGTTTTCGAGGCTTCGCAGAAAATTGATGTTGCTCTCGACTCCTGCAATAGCAGCCGGGTACTAAGCCTCGAAGGATCTTCTCTAGTGCTGTTCATGGATGGATCTACCAAGCTTGCAAGGAATTTTTAATGTCTTACGGTAAGGCAGCTTAAGGTAGTTGTGTTTGTGATTAATACTTTCTCTTTGAGTGAACGAATTGTTGTGACTTCATAATAAAGAGGCGTGAGGGGAGGTAGGTGGGATGACGGGTCTGCATCACTAGTCAGCCATGTTCGACGGCGATTGGGTTAATATAAGTTGCCTACTCGGCTACTTTAGGAGAGTAGAGCTTACGAATAGAGTAGAGTTGAGCATTCCTTCACCACCTCATCTTAACATTAGTCTGAGAGTCTCAGTATTAATAGAACGACAGGCAGTGAATATCATCCCTTCAGAAGAGTTCGCTCTCGACTTACCACTACGCAGCTTTACGAATCTGTTTCTCTTGGTCTCCTGCGGATCTTTGATGTGTACGAAGAAGTCTGTTGTCGCGAGAAATTGCCGCAGTTCGAAGAAGATGGCTCTTGTATTGGAAGAATTGTCTGTCAGTCCGGGAAATCTGTCTGCAAGAACGAATTAGTTTCTTGTGAAATGCTATGCTCAGTGCGTTTAACTTACGTTTTCCCTCGAGCTGGCAGACCAACGAGTATGTTGAGTCTCGTGTGAAAGGGTCCTCCATGAAGAATCATGAATTTCGGGCAACACCAAACCAGGGAGCTGCTCGAGAGGAGCTTCCTCAAAGGAGTGGGGGGACATCCCCAGTGGATTGGTCATCCAAGCAGGCCGCTGCACGAGATCGGGTTAGAAAACTGCAGACAGTTGTGCTCGACACATGGACTTACTTTTTGTCTCCTTAAAAGAGGTTGGGACGTCGCCTAGGTGAATACGAAATAGCATTTCGTAAATGAGACAGATCCTAAGACGGAGTCTAGCCGCAAGATCGGAACAGTCTCTTGTGCAACTCTGTGCTTGGTCTCCCTGACTTGCTATTCAGTCCAAGCGGAAGAGTGCTCATGATACCGTACTGCAGAGCCGTGAAGGAGCCGTCAGCCCTCCTACAGTAACGTGGAGAGTTAGCGGTACTACCGCTGTCTCAGAGGTGCTGAATGTCAGCGCATCCTTCGGCACTGTAACCAATCTCATTCACCGTGCTCTCGACAACTTCTTCTTCTGTGAAAATATTGCCTTCATTTTCCTTCTCCGTCATCCACGTGAGCACTCGACACGTTCTCAGCATGTGTGATTTCGCCAGCGAGAGTTAACCTTGGAGTTATTGCAGAAGGAGAGGCTGCTGGTAGCGCGGATAATGGTTCCGGAATGAATCAGTGAAGCAGCGAATATGATTTGTAGTGGAATCAGTGACTACTGCTGGTTTGTATGGGAGGAGATTAGTGTTGGGGTAAACACTGGAGTGGAGAGCGTGTGTGATTTTAACCTGCCGAGCCACCTGAAGACATGGCAGCATCGGCGTGTTAGGCTTCGATGGCGACTGTGGACTGCTTGCAAATAGTCTAACCTCTTCTGCAGATGATTTCGCGCAATCTGAATCTAGCCCAACTTCGAGACATAAGCAGGAGATAACAAGATCGAAGTCATATTGTTAGATGTAGTCTTGACCATGACAGACGCCAAGCCGTCTTGGCCGAATGTGATGAAGCCATGCAAATATGTCCACCCTAGGAGGCAGAGCCGGATGCATGAGCTTGGCCGTTGGAGGAGGTGCCAAAAGAAAGAGCTTCGCCGCCAAAGGCAGATTGAAGACCCAGGAGAGTTGTAGAAAGTGAAGGCCAAACTCATCTTGGGCTTGCCACCCCATAGTGGTTTCTTGCGGGCAACCGTGCCATTCTCGATCTAATAGAGCACAACGCACGTTCAAATTATTGCAGTTGAATCACACATAGTCAGATCTTCGACCTAGCTGTCCAGTCTGCCTCGTAGTTAAGGGGAAGTCGAGAGGCGGCGCTGCGCCTTTGAAGAAGAGCTTCGTAGTAGGTTGCAATTCGCAGAAGATTGCATGTAGATCTTTGCACGTGCGTCTCTGAATAGTATCAGATATGTTGAACATAATAGGCTTGGTTTTGGACATTACCAAACTACAGTAGCCGTGGTGTAGCAGACGCGTAGGATGAAACTGACCGAAATGACTGCCAATGGTGCTAGTTCTCGTTCTTTGCAAGTCTCGGGTCCCTTGAAGAGCTCAGAGCTATTTTGAGACCTGGGCTGTGGACCCTCTGGCACCGGAGATGAATTGCGGGATGCGGAGCTGTTCAAGGAAGGAAAGAAGCGTAGGGAGCAAAGTAAAGTCATGTGACCGAATTAGGAGAGGGAAGATCGAGGGCGCAAGAATGAAGAAGATGCCGGAGATCTAAAATTGGGCGAGGAGGGGATGGAGTGGGGGCGAAGTTATGGCGAGTGGAAGAATGAGTGGACGAGTATGTTTCAACTTGCCTCCTACATCTGCTCTCAAGCATACTGAGTCCGATACCGGTCCAACTGCCCTAAAGTAACAATCACCGCCTGATGTCATTCTCAAGCATTGTTTGCAAAAATTAGGAAGGCATAGTACATCAGATAACCCTTATTTCGCATGCACATTAGTGATTTTATCTTTGTTTGATGCACTTTTTGTAAAGTTCTCCTGTATGTACCAAACATCAACCAGAAAAATTATCATAGAAATAGGACAACCACCTTTGCACACTAACCTCAAACTCAAGCTGTTCAAGTAAAGTTTTGAGGTAAAAGATAGCCTAGAAGGATTTAAGAGGCATCTCTGTTCACCAACTTCAATTGTTTTCATGCTATAAAGGATATAAAGACAACTTCTCCAAAGGCAGATTAATAAACTCCTTAACATCACTTTACCATATTTTCTCTGAGAGGAGTATTCATTCATTGCGGCTTCAGCAGACGAGGCTGGCAACCAGCCCGATCTCTCGCTTCGCAATCGCATTTAAAGATTCTTTTCTCCAAAGTGAACGGCACCCGTCCTCTTCTTGAACATCTACTTCCATAGTCTTACCAAGACAACAATCATCAAAAGCCACACACCTACCACACAAGAAGTTCTACGACCTACAGTGTCTATGGCTGCACAGGCTACGCCGTCCACCTTTGTCTCCTATAATGGTCCTCTCGCAGTTGACGCAAACCAGCCCAGCGGCCCGCCGTCGAGTCCTCCTGCATCAACCGCACCAGAGGGATATGCATACAACAAGCGGGGAGAGCTGGTGAAGAAGACGCCTCGCCGCCCATACGGGTACGTACTGTCCATCACTCAAGTTTACGCTGACTGATTCAAACAACTAGAGGACGACGCGAGTATGGAGTTCGTATTACAAAGGTCACCGAGGATCAGTTGAGGAGAATCCGTCCAGGTTACGACTTGATGCCGCTTCCTATCTTCAAAAACAAACCTCAAGGAGCAGGCGCCCAGGTTCGATTGCTTGATGAGGAGATTGGTCGGCTGGAGGCTCTTTTACAGAAGCGCTTGTTTCCTATCGGGATGAAGAATCTAGACAAGGCAAAGAGGGAGGAGGCACAGATGAGAATGAAGTTGATGTTAGATATGAAGAGAAAGGGTCTCAACGTCCATACCAAGGAGGCTCGGGAGAAATTGGCTTGGGTAGGACAGCATGGAAGAGATCTTCAGAGGTTGGCTCAGGCAGGACTGAATGGAGGAGATCTTCAATGAAGTCTACAAGTTCCTGAAACACTGGGCTCTTTGGGGATAACACATCGACAGAAAGGGGATTGTACATGAATAGATTCTGTTTTTACAGCATAGAATACTGATCTCCTCTCCTCCATATCGATGGTTAGACCATATTGAGACTTTGGGACGTGACACTAAGATGCTCGAGCCAAGAATTGCTATTGTGTGGCTGTTGATGTTATAGAATAATCCTTGTATAACGGTATGCTGGAACTAAGATATGTCACTGCAGCATTGAAAACTTGAGATCACTTCACAGTAAGGAATTCAGAGAAGGCAAAGATTGGGTTGGGATTCTTGTATTCTCCTGGGTGCTAGCACCCTTATGGTATTTCCCACGGTATCACCCTCCATTTATCAGCGACTATTCAACACTATGTGGCCCAATCTTCTAGTGTTCTAATAGGCTTCAGAACAATCCCTCAAAATCCCCAGCAGTCATTTGTCTCTCATCGTCCTCCAGTCTGCGCGAGATGAAGGCCCTCGAGAGCTTTCTTCTTTCGCGTGCTCTCGCCTTTCTCCATGAGATCTTCCACCATATCATGCCTACGCGCTACCGACGTAGCACTAGCTAGAAACTCTTCATTCTTGAGTGTCTTCTCCATAAGTTTGATCAAACGAAGTCCGTTTTGCTCCCTGTATTCATTGATCTTGACGATCTCCGATGTGCTGCAATTAATGCGTGTCTTTGCACGTGTAGGGTTCTTTCAGAAGACCTCTTGGCGATGTTGGAGAGTCCCCGGTCGGATAAAGCCGAACTCGCGCTCAGTAATCCAAACCTGAGGGAGACCATACGTTGTTGCATGTCTAGATTGTTCGAGTTAGTTTTTCTAGATTCAAGGTTGAGGTCCAAGTCCGAGGTTAAATATTCGACGATTTTGGAAAAACAAACTTTGTCGGTGGCCCACATTTCTTTGAGCTTGCCTCAATTATTGTAGTAGTATCCTTATTTGGGTTCCGGGCGAGTTGCTGCGGGAACCGAAACGACGGTAGCATCGATGGTTGGGTCAGCGGCGATCGGGGCTGTGAAGACGGGAGAAGCAGCATTCAGGGCAACAATATTGTGAGCAGTTGTAAAATGTGCTGCAATGTGCTGCAATAATGGGGACCGAATGCGGTGAGGAACTGTGTTGGGTTGGGTTGAACAGCTTATTGAGGGTCTTCATTGTCTCCGTGGATATTGGCACGGTGCGAGGAGACGCGGCGGTTATGTACGGACTAAATATGTGAGTTGCTATAGGAATAGAAACGTAATATTACAAGGATGCAGTGTAGACTCACCATTTTGTGCGAGTTGGACGCCGTTGCAGTTCAGTATCTTGGTTTTGGCTTGCGAGTCGAGGTTGTTTGGAAAGGATGGAGGATAGTTGCAGTTTTGGCAGGTCATTCATCCACATACACCAAGTGAGAGACAACTCGATGCTCTAACACTGGAACTTAAAAGTTTCCTAAATTTCTAAATTTCAAGTGGATGCCGCGCACTAAGTTTAGCGTGGCCAGCAGGATTAATCTAACAGAAGTGATGTCATTTATCAAGCAATACTACTGAAGATTTTGAGAGATTGCTCTCAACGCTGTCAGAAGAATAGGGACAATATCGATATGATCTGATGTCAAGCACCAGCCAATTAGCACCATTAGACTTCCTTAGATGTTTTAAGAGAGCTTGGAATGGTCGCCTGTATACTTAGGTGAAATTGGACTACCGAAGGAATTACAAGGCATTGTTTAAAAATCTCAATGAACAGTGTTTTCTTTTCTTCATCTTTTCATCTTTTTTTCTTTCAACGTCTCAATTGCCCTCTACTCTCCTGGAACAATCTTCTTCCCCAGTCCTCAGTCAACTAGCTCAACCGTTGTGATCTAAGTCCCTCCGAGCTTCCTTCGTACGGGTTGACTGGCCTTTGCTCTTCATATGCTCAACTACCTTACGGCGGTGTTCAGCCTGCGGCGCCTTGTGCTGAAAGTTCAAGTCTTTCAAAATCCTCTCCGAAGTAACGACCCGCTTTCCTCCGTGGACCTGTCTGTATTTATTCAACTCCTCCCTCTCCCCCATAGACAACCAGATGCGAGCGTTGGATCGGGAAGGGTCTTTGGCGAACACGCTTTGGCGCTGGTTGAGGGTGCTTGGTCGCAGGTAGTTGAGTTCAGCTTCAGTAATGAGAGTCTGAAGCATTCCGAATTCCTTCCTCTGACTAGATTACCAAGTCAATCAATTTGAGTGTCCCAGTCTGTTGTTGTGCGATGAAAAGGTTGCGAAATACATACCTCGTCGGTGGGTTATGCTTTTTGAGGTTACCCCGATTGTTGTAGTAATAGCCATCAGGCGCTGGAGGACGCGAGAGAAGAGCTTGATTACCGACATCGGCACCGACTTGAGCACCGACTTGAGACCTGGCTTGAGGAGCGGAGACAGGAGCGGTGGCAGTGGAAACTTGAACAGTAATAAGAACAGTTGCAGGACCTGACGCGACAACAGGACCGAATGCAACTTGAAAAGTTGTGAGGTCGGGGGATGTGTCTTGGGCAAACTACTACTGTTAATAGCTGGGGCAAGAAGCATGGAGATTGCATACCACATTGTCCATGTTAGAGGCCATTGTACGGTAAGCTCTCGCTGTGGTGTTGTGATAGGAGTCTTTGGCGTTGTGGTAGTTGGGAGAGAGACAGGAAGGGCTTGGCAAAGGGCTTCCTTTATAGGTAGGAAGCGAGACCGACAGCGCTCATAGCCTCACCGGAAAAAATTCGCACCGGCAAGTGGTTGTAATTCCATGGATTCACTGCCGGGCCGCCAACATACCAGATTATAGCAGTCTTAAGGTGAATGCTATAGGTCATTCTTTTAAGATTGTGTTTACCTTGCGCATTTAATCTGCAAAGGATGTCTTTATATTATTTAGCATCTAAGGGAAATTAATTCATAGCAATAAAGAGAGAATAAAACATATATTTAAGTAAATCCTTTAAAAGTATTTATTTACTTAAATAATAATAATCTTACTTGTCTTTAAAGCCAAAATCCAAGCGTTACTATTGCTAGTTTCGTATAAATATATAATTATTAGAATATTGAAAATACTATAAAGTATTAATATATAATAGTGTTACAGTTTCGGATTTCGACGTTCTGGTCACCTGATACGCAAGCACGTGATGCGGTCGCGTAACATGGAAATGAGCATGGGGAAATTTAGGACGCTAAGTCCTATGTGGGCTAGCGCATTGTGGGTGCACTTATGCCTTCGCAACCTCCTGTATTCTAGTTCTCTCCTCTTTAGCTTTAAACCGTCTGCGTAAGGGGTCTTCTACCTTGCTTTCCAAGCCCTGAATGCCGTACCCGCAACAAATAGGATTTGTAATTATAATAATGTTATAATTAAAAATCGAATTTTTAGAGCAAGTAATTAAGTAATTTAAGCAGTTAATTAGCAAACTCTTTTATTATACGTAATTTAATAGTCATGTACAGGAATAAACTATGAGCACACGAGCAAGCGAGCTAATAAAAATCGGGAGTATATCAAGTTCAAGCTAAGATATGAAACATTCTAGATTTTCACTATATAACAGGTAGTTCAGCAATATACAAATTGTAATTTCTATATGCTTCTCTCTTGTTATCTTCATGTGCTTAAAGAAAGTCGTGTTACCATCAGTGTCGACTGCTATCATAAAAAATAGCCAAATAAACGACTATTGAGAGTCAAAACCAGGGTATCGAAACTCCTTGGCCAACAAGCAATATCCCATCTGTGTGCTTCAAGCCATCCCTCTACCAGCCTTCCCAAGGATCTGCCATTGGTTCCACGCGAAAGAACCCATCATATATGAACTTCTCGATCTGTATCACTCGTGTCTCGTAGCGGGCGTGGGAATAGCGTTTAAGCAACAGGAGTTGGATGCTGCGGCTGCCCCTGGATATTGTGTAATTCGACCGAAGCCTGCGTCTTCTCTACCTGCGCAGCCTCGATGTCACCAGTGATCCCTCTACGGTGAGTGGAGGATAGTCCAGTTTCGCTGTGCTCTTCACGATGTTTGTTCCAGTAGTAAACTAGTATCAATTACAGTTAGCATAAATACTTCCACAAAAGGCACCCGTGGGCCAAAAAGAAAGAAAGAAAAGGCGTAGATGCGTTTTATTTGCGACAAGGAAGCTAATGGCGGTACTAACCAACAAAACCGAACGTGACCATGAATAGCAGCCAAACAATAGCAGCTATACCGATAGCAGCCCTTGATGCTTTGCAAGCAGACAAAAGTTTGTTGACTTCTCCGTTGTTGCCACTACTGAAACCACTGAATTCGTCTTTGATGGCCTCTAAGGAATCCTGTTCCACGACCCACCATTTGCCCTCATCGGCAAGAAGGGCGAACGTAGTAAGCCAGAAGATAACGGTCAAGAATTCCAGGCCACTAATTGGAAGTTAACGCCTGAAAGGGGATTTGAAAAAGGATTGACTAACAGGTGGGCGTAGGAAAGGTAAAACTTGGGGAAGACAAGTGGTATCAGGAAGATCTGTAATTGCACTGTCAGGAAACGTTCCTACGATACACGCTGGAGGTCTTACATAGAGTAGGAATAAAACAGTCCATGCGAAAGTAAAGAAGCTCATATTGTAACCCGGGAACTGTTTACTGCACGTCAGCAAAAAATCATTTTACTGGTTAAGAAACGGAGGAAACACTTACCAAGATCTGGATAACGAGATCCCCATTTGTGCCTGAACCCCCGAACGTAGCTGACGAGTATGCTGTGAGAATCAGCACGAGACACGCGAGAAGCTGGTTCCAACGTCAGTATCAACCTTACGATGTTCATTTTTTTTTGGGAAAAATTATCCACTGGAAGTTGCGAAATAGAAGAACATACCAGTTGAACCACTCTGATGATGGCCATCCACCCCACGGCGCACATATACGTTCTCATGATAGTTGACCATTGTGACCTATTCGCTGCAAGCAGACTTAATGTGTGGAATAAAACGTATGAAACGTGAGAAGTATTGAGTAAGAAGTATCTTGGGTACAAATTGGACAAAGACGAAGTGGGAAGGAGAGGCTGAGAAAAAATGCAAAGTGGGCAAGGCCTTTGAAATATGAAATCAGAATGCCGACGGTATTCTACGATCTATGCTGCCACTTCAGGGACGCTGACCCACTGTACATGACACACAGTTCGCAGCCGTGATCTTGGCCTTGAGAGCAGAGTTCCCCGAAATATCTCGAATGCGTAAATCAAGGGACAAATGACTTGACGCGATCGATTTGATCGTTTATTTGTCGAAGGCTTGAGATCCTGGCTCTTGAACTTTGACGAGCATGCGTTTTACTTCGTATCCGGGGTAACAGTTCCAAGACACAGAAGATCTACTTTACCTCAAGAGGCAGCATTTCAGCAAATTCCAAGAGTTCTATTGGCTAGACCTCCCTGTTAGCGCAGAATCTTCCGGAAAATGTTTTGGAACTGTTACGCTGAGGGGAAGTAGAAGGATCATTCACCTCCGCAAATAAACTCGCCTTACGGAGCACAGGTTGCTCTGCTTTCATTGGTACGCACCGCCAAGCTTGGAGTCCACCCTCGCGACCCATGCCTTTGAAACACGGAAAAGCCCCTCACTCACCTCTTGAATGTAACTCTCACTGGGATCTAGCCGCTGTTGTCAAGATAACCCTTCGCTTTAATATTTACGGAGCATGCCCTTATTGGAATTGGGGCTGGCGAAGCCTCGTTCAGCCCTGCAAATCAGTTTTCCTCTGCGGAAATTTATTGCGACTTAGAATTTCTGTGCCTCGATCTGCGGGGGATGAGCTAAATGTGGCACGAACAGGAGGTTAGTGAACCGACGATTGCAAGGAAATGTCGGAACCCCCCCCGTCCTGGTTTGTTATTCCGAGCGCTGTCGTTGTCAGCCGGCGGATTGATTCACCGTTCATATATCCAAAAGAGCTAGGCGTAATTTCGAGTCGAGAAAGATTGAGATCCTAGACCAAGGCTCTGTCCGTTTTCAATTTGAGGAATGAGGCTATCCACGATCTGCCATAGGCAATCTCAGTCGTCGCTCTCCAGACGAGACGGTCACAGTCTGCACCGCCATCATGGTTACTGCTGAAGGAGAGCACTGCGTACCTGGAGGTGTCATTGCTGAAATTGCGTTATTACCCGCTGAGCCTCTGTCCGCACGGTGATAAAAGATAATGCGGGCAAAAATAGCCCCGCCTTGGCTTCTGGACAAAGCAAATCACAAGCCTCGTTGCCTTCTACTGACATGGGATAAGATCTCAACAACAATTTAAAGCATACAGTGATGATTGATCCGTCTTGGCAAATCCTACCCATGGAAAATCCTATTTTTGACTCGGTGAATGGCGACAAGGTGTGAAGTTCCAGGTCTTGACGGTATTTGGGGCCACTCAGCTTTCTCTGATATATAACACTGAGGGATCTCTATCAATCACCCATTTCAGCTTCCATTTGTATCCATCTGCTTCAATATGCACTTTACCACTGTTCTTACCGCCGTCCTCTTCGCCATTAGCCATCTCCCCTTCTCCTTAGCAAGTGTGATTGACTTTTCACCTGCCCCAATCTCCCTCTTTAAACGTGACCTCGCGAGCTTGTGCCAACCAAGCGCTGGTGTCTCAAACCTCGTCGATTCGCCATTTCCATGCAACAAGATGCAAGGCGTGATGCAGATCTGCGGATTGAGCGTTGATCTTGATGGCCTAAACCCTACGGCCGATCACCTCAGTGAGCAGCAGAAGTGTCTCTGTGACTCTAATGGCAAGGGGTACGATGTTTGGCGATACACACAGGGGTTAGTGGGCAATATCCAATGTTGACTTTCAAAGAGGGTTTACCAGATCTGTTGCTAATGACGTCTCTAGATGCAGCAATTGCCTTCGCCTGCATGGAGGAGGGTTTTTGAACCAGGACGAAATCAACGCTGAGTCTTCATCGTACTGCAGCGCTTCCGCAACGGTCCCATTCGAAAGTTTCAGGGCCAACTTTGCTTATTCAATTTTCTCGACGGAGACGACACAATCCGATGTTCTAAGCACCCGCACTGAAGTCAACTTATATTGGACTGATACTGTGGGAAAGGCAGGTGCCACTCCAACCAACAAGGCAACGACTACTTCAAATGGAGGCACGACACCGACTTCGACGGGAGCAGCTACCGCTGCTGCAACTTCAAGTAGTGCAGCGCAAGTATTGGGATACACCAACCTACTGGGCGTAGTTGTTGCGACTTGCTGCACTTTTGTAATATCTCTGGTCTAATTCTCAGATCCCAAACGTTAACGCCTTTCTGAGTTTGGCCCTCACATATTGTCGTTCCACTCAGCCTCGCAGGATGTGGGGTTCAGGACGAGTGCGCGCCTCTTATAGCACTGCCTGTCGGGCCAGTAAAGAGTCGGTCTAAACTTAGAGCTGATGGGTTTAGATAAGATAAACCTATTCCTATCAATATGTAACTTGTTCCTGCCTCGCTGTGATTATGTCAAATTATTGATGCAGAATGGGACCCAGCCACAAGGTTCAATCCAGTGTTCTCATCTGCCCTACCACCGCTGTGCCCCTCCTGTCCTCCTTGGCCTTTGCCTAAACCAGCTCTCTCCTCCTCTCCTCCTCTCCTTCTCATACATATTATATTCCCACGTGCTCCTCTTTATTAAGAATATTATATTCCACGCTATTAGTGATATAATTCCTTATAATAAAGAGAGAAATATAAAGAACTCATTAAAAATGTAAACTAGAAATACTTTAAAAAATTTATCTTAATTAAACTTAAATGAAGAAATGAAGAAATGAAGAAATATTTTAAGTATTTTAAGTATTTTTTCTTAAAGTACCAGGTAGATGTAATGCTGGTTGGCAATTGTTATGCAGCGGCAGAGACTGTAAAATAGGGAGTCAGTTGCTGCTATCATCTCCTCTCGGCATTTGCTCAAATTAGATTTATCGTGAATTATTGCCTCTCTTCAGCAAGACCCAGCAGGCTTCTCCAATGATACTATTGATCCAACTTCAGAATTAGCTACCTTCAATGTTTAACAGCGGAACTAATTGTGGCCTTGATAATGTCACTGACGCTCAAAGTCAACAGACCCCTATCTGTCCCTGAACTCGAGCTTTGGGCAGTCGCTGGCCTGTGCTCAAAATGTAATGGAGTACGCAACTTGCAAAGCTTCATTTTCCCGTATTCTCGTCTTTACTTCCACTCTCTTATTATCTTGTTCTCCTTAGCGAATTCTTGAATTACAATTACGTAGAATAGGAGTGCTGTATTATGAAAAGGCCGAGAATATAGAGAATGACGCGGAAGCTCCCAGCACTCCTTCCCGACCACATCTATCAGCAACTGTTTCATTCTGACTGGAATATTCTCCTTTAGAAGTCCTCAGCCTGCGCGCTTTATGCAATTTGCTATAGTTTAATTCATACTTGCTAAGCGAGGACCGCACGGCAAAGTTCTGGAGAATCATTGCCCGGCTTCTGTCAGCGTGGGCGAGGTCGAGGGGCGACCGGCTGTCGATAGTCAGATCACTCTGCAATGTAGCATCTTGATAGGAGGCAAGCTTAAAAGAACTCGTTATCAAATACCCCATCGAATATAATCGGCAGGTCCATTTTGTAGCAAGAGAATCGTGCGAGATTCCATCATGATCAGGAAAATAAGTGGTATTATCCCACACTTGTTCCAGTGACCCATAACGCTAAGATTTCGACCTGAACTTTGGGTCGCCGGTGGTAATGTCTCTTTCCTGGGGCAGCTGAGGAATCTCGAATCATACCATATCGCAGTCAGATTCTGATTATCCTAGAGGTAGAGACTTGTCAGGTTATCTAAATCGATGGAGAGAAGCGTGAAAGAATCTCTGCTGGCATTGAATGTGCCCGTGGTCCAATTCTTGATGTTGTATGAGTCTTGTGGTTCTATAGTTGTAAGGTTCCTTGCCAAATAGACCAAGCTAGATACCTCCAGTGTGTTGGCTGAGACCTCAAAGTTTTGGTTGGTCTTTTGGCTGCAAGTTGAGCAGTCGAATACCATCGAAAGGTTGCTGTTTCTATTGATCTGAGTTTTTGTACTTCGCACATTGGTAAACGATAAGTTGTTGACATTTAGAATCCCGCCCATGGAAAAGACCGATGGCCTCGGGGACTTCGTAGAACGATATTATCGATAGATCCGAAGCCGACACCTTTTATTTCTACACCGTCGGCCGTATAAAGGCATGGATATCGAGTGTCGAATTCCCACAGCTTCGGGAGACCTCGAAGGCGAACATTCCAAGCAAAGAAGAAGGCAATCATGTTGGCAGTCTCCAGGACTGGGACATCTTCCAAAACTAAAGCTGCTGAGGTTCCGAAGAAGGATGCTGTCCCCGAGATAGCCTTCTACCACCAAACTCTTCAACAAAGGGATCTCTGCAACGACACTACCATCAATCGTCCAAAAGTTGACCATCGCGTGCTATGCATTTTTTCTTTCTTTCTCCAGTCAACCAATCGCAGTGGATCACCCGCTCCCGCGCTTCTAGAGGGTCGTGACTCGTTTGTTCAGAACTTCAGACGTTCGTCTTCTCGAAGGCATCACTTTTCATCTTCAGAAGTCAGTCAACACCACCCACTCTCAATTCCACCTTCGAGAGAAAAATCCGAACATACCAGACTCAAACTACACGCGGATATGACGACCCCACAGACGCTGGGGACTCTCCACAGGATTCAGGTGGCCATGGCTACGGGATATACGAAGTAGTAGCATGGGTGCCTGGTAAGCGTTTCTGCCCTGCCTATGGATTATTAACCCTGACGACTGGTCCAGGTGTCTGCTCCATCCTTCTTCCGTGATTGCACCCAGTCTGGCGCCGCAATACGCCCTCACCAACAGCACGACTTCGCTCTTGATGCGATGTTTTGGTGCACAGGCGATGACTGCAGGGTTTCTCCTCCGTACCTCTAACATGACGGCCACCAGCTTCACGGCTTTTGGCGTGAGCATGATTTCATATCTTGGATTCAACGCCTGGTTTATTATTGGCCCGGGCCGGGACTTCTTCACCAATTGGTTGTGGATGGATTTCGTTGGAAATATGGTCTTCCTGAGTGGGTCTCTCTTTGCGGCGAAATTGTTGAAAGACGACGAGGAGGAACAGGAGAAGGCGGTCTAGGAAGTCATATCGAGGTCTCAATCAGTTGGCGTTACATTCTCATCTATGGCCCACAATTAGAGTCTTCTCGAATCGGAGCCCCTTTTGGCCACAGTGCCTCGTATTTGCCTCAATCCTCAGGCATTACTGCAGCTTACGAATATTGCGGCATAAAGTCATGCGACTACAGGGCACATGACGTCCCAGCCACTAATCACACGCTGTAATCAATGAAACTAGCCTGTAAAGCCACCACCGCTAAAGTGCCCTGGAAGCACCTGTAGCTTAGTGGGTACGTGCCTAAATTATAGGCTACCTGCCCCTGTAAAGCGAGGTTTACTAAGGCCATAGGCTTAAGCCATGTAAGGAGTTTCAGGGATTAAAAGACAATTCTAGGGTATGCCCCTGCAAGTATAGGGGCTTGATCGCTAAAGGGCCCTATAAGACCTCTAAGTTCCAGTGTCTGAGCGCTATAGTCACTGGGCCAACAGCGTGGCGCTATAGCCACAGCCACTACAGGGCGCATACGCTGAAGTCGCGTGACTTTATGCCGCAATATTCGTACTCCGCCACACCCACATTCCTCGACCTCAAGATTCCTTGACTCATCCCAGACGCAACTTCCAGTCTCATTATGGGAGCGGAAATAAGTCGCCTAGCTGAGTATTGTTGGAACACAATCTCACCGGGTATGTCGACTCTTCCTGGCTGCAGTTCGTCTTTGAACCTTTCCCCTGCACAATCCAGCTGACGACTTCAGCTCCACAACCAGCTCTCATTCAGTTCTCTCTCCTTCCAACGGAGCTACGACTCAAGATATGGAACTTAACTATTGAACCTCGAGTCATTCTACCTCGGAAATGGATACAAAGCCCCGTACCAGCACTTCTCCACGTCTGTAGAGAATCGAGAGCCGAAGGGCTACGCCGTGAAAAAAATCCGTCATCTGGCAATTGGTGAGCTATTTTGGGCGGGCCTCGGCCCTGAAGACGAATACCACGCCCCAATCCTCGATCACATGTACACATCTGAGACATTGAAACTCTCACTAATGCCAGTGATCATTACGCAGATTTATCTAGTGTCGGTACAGGGTTGATTTACTATGCGGGCAGGTCACTTCGTCATAACATAGAAGTGTGGGCCTCCATCGCGAAGCATTTCAAGTTTCTTGAAATCAGATACGCTTCAGTGGAAGAGCGTCCATATCTCGAATATTAGACCTAGAAATCTGGGGAGGTTCTGCTTCGTACGGTTACAACGGCCTGATTCTTGACGCTCAGAGCCAACTTCTGTCCAACCTCAATTTTCGACTCGCGCTCGAGCGAACTCCTAAATTACAGGAATTTTTGGCCTTTGCTTCTCCAAGAACTTCGTCTTTCGAAAGAGGAAGTCAGCGAAGCTTGAAGTTAAGATTGTTACTTCGCTTCCTGCCGAGTCTGGAATCTGTTCTGAAGAAACTCTACCGTACTTTCCTTTATTCTCCAAGCTCCCAACAGAGCTGCGGCTCAAGATCTGGACTTCGGCAATCGAGCCTCGAGTAATTTTTATGCTCCCGAGAATCAGGACCACTCTTCCAATAATCCTACAAGTCTGCAAAGAATCGAGAGCTGAAGGACTGCTCAATTACCACATTCTGACATATCCTTCGGTCAATTTGGAAGTACCAGGAGTCCAAGGGAGGAATAATATCGATACTTGGTCAAGGATCTATTTCAGCAACGAGGTCGATACTCTCTTCTATGGTGACAGCCCATCAGGCAGTCGAGACCACGACTGGGACCTTCCGTGGACCGATCTGCCTACAACAGTGCAGCAAGTTCATCACCTGGCGCTCTCTCGAGCCGCTTGGCATAAGCTGCGGTTTCCTCCGCGTCCCCTCTCGTACATCACGGGCAGCTACGAAATTGTTCTTCAAAACAACTCCCTGAAGACAATCACAATCGTTCAAGGACACTACTGGGACGCTATTGAGATACACAAATATCCAGAAATTCTCTCTGCGTCTGACGTGAGGCTGGTTTCCTACCAATCAGACGGGTATACGGAAGAGTGGGACGCGTGGCTGCATGATCAGCGCCGTCTTAACATCCAGAGCAAACCTCCAGAATTGAAATTTGCATGGCTGGAGCGATATGCACTGAGCAAATTCGATTCCAAGAGAATTGCTACAGGTAAGTTTTATCAGCCATTTCCATGCCCATGATGACTGATCCTTGAGTTCCTCGCTTGTTGTACTGTCTTTTATGTTTTCTTTGATTGGATTTAGATAGCTGACAGGCCACAGTGCATCGGCCGGACTTCACGGATCCATTTCCTCAATACAGGTACTGACCCGCCTTCATAAATATGGCTTCTTACCTCTCAACTGCCCTCTCGGACGTCCAAATGTCCCGTGCGTATTCCCCCTCTCCCTCCCACGCATCTCAAAACACATTTAACACCAAGCAGCCACACCGCCCAGCGTCTATCTCTTCCCCCGTCTCCCTTTCGAACTACGCCTCAAAATCTACAACCAAATGCTCACCCCCCGCTACATCCATTACAACCCCACCTTCGCCTTACACCTCACTCTTGACCCTCAAATCCCACCACTCCTCCACATCAGCCAAGAGTCCCGATCCTTCGCTCTAGAATGGTACAAACTCCACACCGTCGGCACGCGACGTATCTACCTCCACCCCACGCTCGACGTTGTTCTCTGGATTCGCTGTCCCGGCCCTTCTTCTTCTTCCCGCGTCTTCAGGGCTGATGCTCAACACCTTCTGCAAGATATCCAGACCTCCCCACGTGATATCCCGAATTTCGCAATCTCGATTAAATATTGGAATCGCATTGTGAAGAAGGCAGATTACAAGGAACTGTACGAGAGGATTAGAGGTGGGGCAGAGAGGTTGTGGGTTGTAGATGATGTTTGTGGCGCAATGGGGGGAAAGAGGGTTAGAGGGGCTAGGGTGGGGCTTAGGAAGTGGAGGAGGAAGGATACTGGAAGCAGAGAAGAACCCTGGAGAATGTGGGATGGGATGGCTGGTGTTGAGAACGGGGAAGGAGAGGGGGAAGAGAGGTTGGCGGAGGTGGGATTCAAGAGGGTTGTGTTTATGCTGAAGAATTGAAGCGAGAGCATAGGATCAAGAAAAGTCATTCAGCCCTTGAGGAGAATTTGTAGTTTTCAAGTTCTGAAATAGTCTTCAGAGAGAATCAAAAATTATGAAGAGAAAAATGATTGGATTCCTTTGCCCTAAGGTACATAGTCATTCTCAAACTCTCACATCCCGCAATCGAGCCATTCTGAAATCCCTACTGAGCTATTCAATTGGTAGTAGCGACGGGGTGATGTGGAAGAAGGGTGCTCGCAAACAGTTTCTATTCGTGCCAAAGATGATCAATTTGAGAAACGGCAGTTGGGGAGTCGAAAGTAAGGGTCCACGACCCCGCTTCGTCCATCGGCGCGACGACAAACCGTTGATCTCAACGCACTTATTTCTGGCGTTGGAGGGCGTTTCTTTCTTTTGATACCCAGGGAGCGGTAAGGACGGAATCGTTGAGGTCAATTTCCTGCACAGCACAGAGAGAGGACCATAGAAAATGGGTGACTATTAACATACCAAGTCCCAAGTCGCAATATGCAAAATCAAGTGCCCCCATTGCTTCGGTAGTCGAGCGCAACCTTTTTTTTCTTCGTCCCAAGGTCGGTTAGTAAGCTCGCCGCTTCTACTCAGGCGCTAATTATCCTCGGCTCACCCTCTCCTTACCCAGCTCACCTGAGTAGCCTGAGTAACCTGAGTAGTCCCTGAATAGCCCCTGAGTAGTACCCACTTCTCATTTATATATTTAATCTCTAATTAGGCTAGATATAGACTGGAGCCTTTTATTTTTATTTTTATTAAGTTTTGGTAATAATTTCTAGGGAGCCTAAATAGACTCCCAAAGATCTCGAACTAAACTCTTATAAAAATAAATCTATATTATATTATAGGTAATTACCTATAGTAATAGAATATAAAGGTCTTATTTAAAGAAAGAGATTTGCTACTATTTCCTATAAATTCTCTTTTTATTTTTATTTATAATTTGAATTTCTTTTTTCTAACTTAATTACTATATTATTTTTAATCTTATTTTTTTAAATAATATTATATATTATATATTACTTTATTTCTCTTTATTTTTTTATTTTACTCTTATTATTATATAACTCTTTATAATACTAAAATATAAATTATCTAAAGATTTCTTTAAAAAAGTTTATAAAAATAGCTTTAAAAAAATAAAGATATTTTTATTACTAGAAAAGAAATTAAGAAAATATTCTAATTATATATTTTAAAGAAATATTATTATATACTAGTAATATAAAACTAGTAAATTATATAATTTAAAATAAGATATTTCTAATATTTAATTTTTTATTTAATAAATATAAACTTGACTAGTTTAAGTTTAAATATCTTATTATTACTTTATATAATATAAAAATAATATAAGATTTTATTATAAATATAGTATATAATATTAAAGGAACTTTTAGTAATCCTATAATATATATAAATATAGTTATTATATATTTAAATAATTTTTCTAATAATTTAAAAAATAGTAATTTACTAGAACTTAGTAAATAATTAATTATAAATACTAGAAATCTATATAATTTACTTTTCCGGAAATATAAATTCTAATTATTAATATAGTTTAGTTTACATAAGGCTCTTTACTAGAAATATTTAAAATAATATATTAAAAGTAAAAAAGAAAATATAATATAATAATTTATTTTAAATATCTTAGAATTTAATTCTAATAATTTAATTAAAATATATATTTAAAGCCAGGAATTAGAATAGATTTTTAGAATAAAATTCAGATAAGTATTTTCTTATTATTAAAAATAAAAGAATATATAGAATTCATTTACTAATCTAATTCTAATTAAGGCCTTTATTATTAAATAAGTTTCTTAATACTTAAGTAATAACTAGATATTATAACTAATAGTTTTTATTAAAATATTAAATTTAAACTATTTTAAAATAAGAATAAAAATCCAGAGTTTACTATATGGCTTATATAAAATATAAAGAATATAACTAATACCTTATATAAAAGATTTACTTTTCTAAAAGATATTAAAATTAATTAAAGGCTAATAATTTAATTAATTATAATACTTCTTATATAAGGAATTAATAATAATATTATTATTTTAGAATCTAATTTTTATATATTTTATTATTTTTATTTTAAAAAGCACTTTTAAAATATATAAAATAATAAAGATATTTCTTAATTTTAAGCTATTATTATATAATAAAATATATTAATTTAAATAGAATTCAAATGTTCTTAATATATTTTTCTTTTAGAAAAGTATTAGAAAAATTAATATAGCTAATATATATAATAAATATTTAAGAAATCTAAACCTTTATTTTTTTTATATTATATTACTTATAATTTATAATTTTAGAATAAAAGGCTTCTAGCTTATTAGTATATTTACTTATACTAATTTGAAATATTTAGTTTCTAACTAATATATATAAATAAACTATATTTTTTAATTTAAAGAATAAAATATAAAAGTTATATAAATAAAAATACTTATTATAATTATTATATTTCGAATAATACCAGAATTAATAATTAAAATACCTATTTTAGTATTCTAATATATAGCTTTTCTAATAACTTATTTTAGGACTTAACTATATTTTATAATCCGGAACTATAATAGTTTCTTTTTACTAAAAAATAAAACAAACTCGAAAATAGTTCAGAATTTAAGGCTATTAAAAACAAGTTAGAAAACCTTTTTTTATTCTCTAAAAACAATTTAATAACAAAAAATTAATAAAAGGAATTATAAGTATAAAAGAGGAAACTTATTATAAAAAAGCTTTATAAATACTAGAAATACTAATTAAAAAAGCTTTCTTTTAAAAATAGTAAATCTAATTTAATTAGATATTATTAGACTTTATTTTTTTATATTTATATTCTAATACTAGAATATAACTATTTAGTAAATAATATATTTATTATTACTTCTATTTATAATAATATAAGACAAATAGTTATTTATAATCTAATTATTCTTTATTAATAATATACTATTTTAGCTTAAATCCTAAAAAATACTTTTATTTAATAATAGATTAGAAATATAAAATATATAAATTAGTATTATAGTTTTTTTTAATTATTTTTCTTATTATAGATCTAGCTAATATAAGTTCTATTAATAGTAAACCGGCTTTATAAAAATAGTAATATATATATAACTATTATATAAAGTATTTTATAATAAGAAATAGTTTTATTTAATTATATTTCTTTTATAATAAATGAATTATAAAAAACTAGACCTAAAAGAACTATTATTAGACTTATTTAAATAGTTATAAATCTTTTCTAGTATAATATAATTCATTTATTTATAATAGAATACTTGCTTTAATTAGTATATATTTCTTTTATTAAAGTAATATAATACTATTAATAATAAAATTAATATAATTATTTTTCGATCTTGTTTTATAAAAAGAATATTTATCTGGCTATTTTTTAATTCTCGAAAAATAAAGCCTAAATAATTCCAAATTATTTAAATATTTAGATATTTCCTTACTATAATATAAAAAATTAAATTTTACTTTTAGAACTTTTATTATATTAAGTTTATTAAAATATTAAAAAGATCTAAATTAGTAAATAATATAAATACTAGATTTTATAATTATAAAATAAATAAAACTATTTTTAAATAAGATTCAGATATTAGTATTAGAAAATATATAATATATATATATATATAAATTTATTAATTAAATAGTAAAATAGAATAACTAGAAAAGATATAGAATATTAATATTCTTAATTTATTATTTAAAGTCTTTATTAATAATATCTTTAATTACTTTATTAATTTCTTTATTAGTAAATTCAAAGAGTTTATTACTATTTACTAAATAGGCTAGAAATAAGCCTAAAAGCAAAACCTATATACTAATTTAGTTATTATATTCTAATATATTTAAAAATATTAACTCGAGTCTATTTTTTTAATTAGTTATTTTGCCTATTAGAAATAATATAATTATTTTATTATTATATTAAAGCTTTATTACTAGCCCTAGTAAATTAAGCTTTTATAAAGTATATATTATAGTATTAGATTATAATATAATTGAAATAGAAGATTTTATAAACCTTAACTAGAAGAAATCTCAAGCCTTAAAGCCTAGATATTTTTCTATAGCTTCTAATATATATTAATATAAAATAATTTTTTTTTAGAGAATTAAACCTAACTAAAATATAAAAGCTTTTATTTATCTAATTAATAATACTAAATAGTTTAATCTTTTAATTATTAAAAATATTTTTTTTTATAAAAAGGCTAGTAATAGATATAACTAATATTCTAATCTATAAAAAGTAAGATTATAATTATTTTAATAATTTATTAAATTTAGGTAATTTAAAATTACTTATTTAATTTATTTATTATAGACTAGATCTAAGAAATATTCTTAATAATAAGAAACTATTTAATTCTCGAATTAATAAGGCTAATAGTAAATTTAGTAATAATTCTATAAAAGATATATCTATTTCTTATTAAGATCTAGAATATTCTCTATTTAGTAAATAAGATATTTAAATATCTAAGCTATTTATTATAGTTCTTAAATATAATAAGTTTATAATTAAGTAAATTATAAATAATTAAATTATTTTAATTAAATAAAACAGGTATAAGAAAATAGTTATCTAATACTAGATTAAATAAATAGGATATTTAGAAGATTAAAATAGCTGAATTAATAAGGCAAATTTAAATAATAATTATATTAAGCTTTATTTAGTAAAAAAAAAACTCATTTTAAAGTTATATTATATATAAAGTTATATAAAGATACTATTTCGGTTTTATAATATTATATATATATATATATATATATATAATTATATTTTCTGTTTTTCTTAAATAAGCTAATTAATTCTATATTAATATATTACTATTATTTAGAACTCGGATTTTCTAGAGCTTTACTTTTAAAACTTGCCTTTAATAAATAAAATAGAAAATATTTAAAAATAGATAAAAAAAACTAATTTCTTTTTTATCTAATTCTATATAATTTTCTAAAATTAATTATAGCTTATTTAATAAAAACTATTTCTTTTATTTACTATTTATACGAATTATTTTAATAGTATTTATAATAACTCCTTTTATAATAATTCCTTTATTTAAGGCAATTGCTTTAATTTTTTTATATAAGAGTTTTAAAACTAAACTTATAAATATTTTATTAATATTTCTAATATTTAGAATATAATCTTAGTTAGGCCTACTATTCTAGTCTAGTTTAATATAATAGTTATTATAAATAGTTAATAGCCTTATTAGTAATATATTTTATTTAGTAACTTAGAAGCCGATTTAGAAAGCAGGAATTATTATAATAGTATTAAAAAAAGTATTTTAATATATAAATAATTTTTGGAACTTTTTCAAATTTAGCTTATTTTATAATTTATATTTAATTAATTAGTTAGTTTTATTAGAATTAATTAATATAATTCTAAAAAACATATTTTTATATTATTTAAAGTTTATATATTAATAGTCTAAAAATAAAAGAAGCTAAAAAAGGCATTTTTCTAAAAATAAAAATAATTCGAGATTTAAAAACAAATTATATTAATTTTTTATAATATAAATACTAATTACTATTTAAAGCTCTTATCTAAATAAATCTATAAATAGAAGCTTTATTTAAGCAAATAAATTAATTTTATTATATTAAAGCTATAAATTAGAAAAATATTATATATAAGCCAAAAAAGAATTTTATTATATATTATAAAAAAACAAGTATAAAAAGCTATATTTTTAGATTTAATTTATAATCTAATAATCTAATAATAGAAATCTAATACTAATTACTTGGCTTTAAGCTTTCTTTATATAATAAATAATATAAAGATTATTAATAATATTATAATATTAATATAAATAAGAGCTTTTATATATTAACTAATTATATATTTTTTCTTTATATTTATAATTAATTCAAGCCTATATATTTCTAATTATATATAATAAAGAATAGTAATAGATATAATAAAAGAAATAAAGTATAATATAGCTAATAAACTAATTCCTAATTTTAGAAAGCGAATTATAATAGAAATTAGTTTAAATATTAAATAAATAAATATAGTAGTTATAAAAATTAAAAACCTTAGGCTAAAAAATAAAGAGTCTTAAATAAATATAGGTATAACTTTTACTATAATTACTTTTAGAGGCTAAAGAAATTGAATTTCATTATTAATAAAGCTTATAATAGTTTCTGGTATTATATTAGAAATATTTAATAATAAATTATTATATTTTATATAATTACTAATACCTATATAGAATTACTTAATTCCAGGTAAATAATTTCTTATAATTAATATTTTAATTATATTAATTTTAGAAATAGCTATTTTAATAATATCTATAATACTCTGAATTTTATTACTAGTAATAATAGTAGTTATTATAAGTATATTTACTATATTCTAAACTTTGCTTTAAAATAGTTAAATAAGATTACTTTCTAATATAATATATAATTTAATTAAGGGATTTAGTAGATAAATATTAGTAAAGTTAAACTATAATTAAAAGTATATTAGCTAGGTAATAAAAAAAGAAAAATAAAGTTTATATAATTAAAGTTATAATACCTGCTTTTACTATTTTATTTTAGATTAATAACTGAATTCCAAATACTATATAATAGAAAATAGTAAAAGAGAAAATTATTAGAATTTCTAATTTTAGCTAATCTCTATTTTATAATATTTTGAAACTTTAATTTAAAGTTAATTTGAAATTAAATAAGCCGGAATATAAATATAATTTAAGGTAAAAAAGCCTTAAATAGCTATATTAATAGCTAGTATTTGTTCTTATATAAAACTAAAAATAGTAGATTTAGTATTATAGGGCCTATTCTAGTACCTAAGCCCCTTTCTCTTATTAGTACCCTTACTTCTGGAATTAATATTAAAAAGATTATATTTTACTAAAAGTAAGATATTATAATATATTTTCTAGTTAGTAAATCTAATTTATTAATTAAACTATAATAAAATAATAGATATTTTATAAGTATAAATTAATAATACTATTAGTATTATATAAGAAAATATAAAAAAAGTATTATATAAGAGAGAAGGTTTAGATTTACTATAAAAACAGACTAATAACCTTATTATATTATCCTGTAGCTTTTATTATAGGGCTAATAAAGTATATAAACGAATATACTAGCAGGCAGAATTAGTTCCCGTAATATAGATAGAGTCAAATTTAGACTACTAATATTATGCTATAGATCTTTAGAAGATTACAGAAGCTTGATTTTTGAACCTATAATATATTATAATTATAGAGTATATATTAGTTAAGTTTTCGATCGGATGAATTATTTGTCTAAGAGATCTAGTTATAAAGAAGGAGCTCTTGATAACCGTTCTATGCGACAGAACCCTTTATATAGTAGATACTAGGAGAGATGGAAAGTGTAAAAGCTAACGTCTATCCCTATATCCCGAGACGCACCCTGTCACGAGACAAATCTATAGTTTAGTAATTACAAATTTTTCCTCAGCAAGTCTACAAAGTTATTATTAATATGACACTTTCTTTAACTATTTCTCCTTTAGGGGCTACCTCAGCAACAAGAAAAAGACTGCATCTAATTATACTATCAATCCTTTCAAGCACGGCACTAATCGCCGCTTCGGCTGTTCCCCCCCTGCTTAATCGCGACTATCAAAGTCTCTTCAAAATTCGGAGCACTTAATGAAAAGTTCTACCAAGGAAGAACATAGCTCCAAGTTTTAAAGATACTCAAAGAGGAAATGATGCAGTCCGGGAGTTTCTCCGGTGTGAGGAGAGGGGCATAAACGCCACATGTTTTAGCTTCAAATTTAGTGTTTATTAATGTGTATTAGCCTGGTTACAATATACTGTATAAATCCGGGCTCGCTATATTTTACTCAGCCACTACTTTTAAGCCTGGTCATGTGTGTGGCGTAGTACGTAGCATGTTTCTCGAACTTTCTATACGCAGGTGCGCAGCAGCACGCTGGTGCCTGGCCAGGAGCGCTCTCCCGTCTCCTTCCACATCACCATCGCGACGATAATATGGACAAGGCCACTAAAGTATTGGCGCAAGGCGTGCCTCCTGGCGTGCCTAGATCATAACGTGCTCAGGTGCAATTGGCCCATGGCCAAAGTCGGCTTTTCTGCAGTGGCTCGATCTCTCTGCTGCGCCACAACCACGCACCACCATGGAGCGAAGCCAGCTGAGCCCCAAACTGACTGCGATGCCGTGCCCTCTTCTTACCATCCGTTTTTCAAAGAAGTTCAATTCCTGACTCTACGACTTAGTAGTCTTCTTCCTACGTTATTCGGGTTCTGATGCTCACCGCTGCGTCCAATCTTCGCGGGACCGCCCTTATGATGCTCGCTCTCGACAATGCGTCTTTTGCGAGTTGACGAGAACGGCGAATTCAGCCTGACCAAGGACATTATCGACAATATTCCTCGTTATGCGATCCTCTCTCATACTTGGGGTGATGACGATGATGAGGTTAGCTTCCAAGACCTGACCAAAAGCCCTAGGAGGACAAAAGCCGGATACGGAAAGCTTCGCTTCTGTGCACAGCAAGCTGCGCGCGATGGTCTGCAATACTTCTGGGTGGATACCTGTTGTATCGACAAATCGAACAATACTGAGCTTTCGGAAGCCATTAATTCGATGTTTCGTTGGTATACCAAAGCGGCAAAATGCTATGCGTACTTGTCAGATGTTCGGACAAACGATCATGATCAGAGCAACCCGTCTTTGCAGTCGTGGGAGCCAGCTTTTCGCAACAGCCGATGGTTCACCCGAGGCTGGACATTGCAAGAGCTTCTTGCTCCATCGTCGGTTGAATTCTTTTGCTCAAAGGGCAATCAACTCGGCGACAAGAGGTCGCTGGAACAACAAATTCACCACATAACAGGAATCGCGGTTCAGGCTCTTGAAGGCACTCCTCTATCTGAATTTAGCGTCAATGAACGGATGTCATGGGCGAAGACTCGTCAGACTAAGCGTGAAGAGGATAAGGCATATTCTTTGCTAGGCATCTTCGAAATCTATATGCCGCTTATCTATGGCGAGGGGGCCGCGAGTGCATTCAAGCGGCTTTACGAGGAAATCGGCAAGAACTCGAGTCCTAGACAAGATCGTAAGCACAAATCGGCTGTCCGTTCTTAATTTGCTTAGAAGTAGAAACACGTCACTAATCAATAGTTGATTATTAGCTACCCTCCTCGATCGCCTACCCTATGCCGTCGAATCGCCTTTCAACTCGTACGCAAAGCAATATGAGCCCATTTGCCTCCCCAATACCCGCGTCGATCTCCTCAAAGACATATATATCTGGGCTACTGGGCAAGACGAGCGATCAATCTTCTGGCTTAATGGCTTGGCTGGCACTGGCAAGTCCACGGTTGCACGAACGGTTGCACGTAATTTCCTTAACAAGAATTATCTTGGAGCCAGCTTTTTCTTCTCACGAGGTGGCGGAGACGTGAGCCATGCCGGCAAGTTCGTAACGAGTATTGCGGTACAACTTGCAATTAGCATACCTACTCTACGCCAGTACGTTAGCCATGCCGTCACGGAACACAATGACATCGTGAACCGATCTCTCCGCGACCAGTGGCATAAGCTTGTGCTCGGTCCGTTATCGAAGTTGGACGGCAACGGCTGCCAATCATTGTGCGTTCTTGTGGTTGATGCGCTTGATGAGTGCGATAACGAAAATGACATAAGGACTATCTTGCACCTCTTGGTCGAGGTTCGATCGTTGGAGGGGGTACGGCTACGAGTGTTTCTAACGAGCAGGCCCGAGATCCCAATTCGGCATGGATTCTGCCAGATACCGGATAAGGGATACCAAGACTTTGTACTCCATAACATATCGCCGTCAATTATTGACCACGATATCACTATCTTCCTCGAATATAATCTTAAATTCATTCGATCGGAACGCTCTTTGGATGCCAGTTGGCCGGGGGAAGAGGCTATTAGGCGTTTAGTTCAGTCTGCGAGCGGTTTGTTTATCTGGGCTGCAACAGCCTGTCGATTTATCCGTGAAGGTAAACGACATGCAGCTCGACGGCTTGATACGATCCTTAGGAGCGGTAGCAGCGCTGGCACTGTTACGGCACCGGAAAAGCATCTCAACGAGATCTATACTACTATCCTTAAGCATTCTGTTCCTTCCGAATACACAGATGAGGAGAAAGGAGAGTCTTATCGCATGCTGAGACAGGTACTTGGAAGCATTATTATACTCTTCACAACGCTTTCTACCTGCTCCCTAAGCAGGCTACTGTGCGTTCCCCAGGATGACTTAGATCAGACGGTAGAGGATCTGCACTCTATCCTGGATATTCAGAAGGACAAAACCCAGCCCCTTCGTCTCCACCATCCTTCATTTCGGGACTTCCTCTTGAATAATAACAGGTGCCAGGAACCAAATCTATGGGTCGACGAGAAGCAAGCACATCGGATACTAGCCGAAGACTGTATAAGGCTTATGTTAACTGCTCTAAAGCAAGATATGTGTGGCTTGGGCGCACCCGGTAAACTTGCAACCGACGTCGATACTAGTCGAGTAAAACGGTGTCTCCCGCTAGAGCTCCAGTATGCATGCCTCTACTGGATCCCGCATCTTCAGCAGAGCTCTCCTCGGCTTTGCGACGATGACCAAGTACACTCGTTTTTGCGAGAGCATTTCCTTTACTGGCTTGAAGCTATTGGATGGATGGGGAAGGTTTCGGAAGGGATTCACGCCATCGCTTCTCTAGAGTCGTTAGCTCCCGTTAGTTCACCTCTAGCACGGCATAAGTTTTCACTAACGCTTCGGTTAGTTTAGTCAGTGCCCCCGTCTCTCAACTTTCGTCCACGACGCGAAGCGGTTCGTCCTCTATAACAGGTCAGTAATTGAGCAAGCTCCCCTCCAGACATACTGCAGCGCCCTTGTATTTTCACCGACGGCGAGCGTAATAAGGAAGCAGTTCAAGGACAAGATACCTAGGTGGATACGAAGATTACCAGAGGTTGAAAGCAACTGGAACGCGTTATTACAGACGCTCGAGGGCCATTCGAGCTCGGTTATCGCCGTGGCCTTCTCGCCGGACGGCAAGCTGCTGGCGTCGGCATCGCAGGACAAGACCGTCAAGCTGTGGGACGCCGGCACGGGAGCGCAGCTGCAGACGCTCAAGGGCCATTCGGACACTGTCTGGTCAGTAGCTTTCTCGCCAGATGGCAAGCTGGTGGCGTCGGGCTCGGCCGACAAGACAGTTAGGCTCTGGGTCTCGGCGACGGGAGCGGCGCGCAGCACGCTCGAAGGCCATTCCATGGTATTCTCGCCAGACGGCATGCTCGTTGCGTCCCGATCCGGGGACGTGGTTAGGCTCTGGGAATCGACGACGGGAACAGCGTACAGCACGCTCGTGGGCCATTTAGATTGGGTCGCCTCCGTGGTATTCTCGCCGGACGGCCAGCTCATCGCGTCTGCATCATATGACAAGACGGTCAGGCTCTGGGATACCAGAACGGGAGCGTCGCTGCAGACGCTCAAGGGCCATTCGGATACTGTCTGGTCAGTAGCTTTCTCGCCAGATGGCAAGCTGGTGGCGTCGGGCTCGGCCGACAAGACAGTCAGGCTCTGGGTCTCGGCGACAGGAGCAGCGCGCGGCATGCTTGAGGGCCATTCGAATTCTGTTAGCGTCGTCGCATTCTCGCCAGACGGCCAGCTTGTCGCGTCCGTATCCATGGACGAGGATTTAACGTACGAGGACAACGTGGTCAGGCTTTGGGACTCGGTAACGGGAGCGCTGCACGGCATGCTCGAGGGCCATATGGGACAGGTCAACGACATTATTTTCTCGCGAGACGGCCAACTCGTCGCGTCCGCTTCTTCGGATAAGACGATTATACTCTGGAACTCGGCGACAGTAGCGCTGCGCGGCACGCTCGAGGGCCATTCGGGTTTCGTTAATGCAGTCGCATTCTCGCCAGACAGCCAGCTCGTCGCGTCCGCATCTGAGGACGGGACGGTCAGACTCTGGGATTCCGCGACGGGAACACCGGACAGCCAGCTCGTCGCATCTTCATCTGACAACGAGGGCCATCGAGATTGTATCACCGACGTGACACTCTTGCCGAATAGCGAGCTCGTCGCGTCCTATGACGAGGGCCATTGGGATACGGTCACCGCCGTGACATTCTCACCGGACGGCAAGTTCGTCGCGTCCGCATCTGAGGACCGTACGGTCAGGCTCTGGGACTTGGCAACGGGAGCGGAGCGTAGCACGTTCGAGTCCTATAAAGTGGCATTCTCGCCGGACGCCCAGCTCGTCCTATTCTCACCTAAGGAAGCCGCTCTCACTCTCTGGGACTCGGCGACGGGAGAGGCCCGCTGCACACTCAAGGCCGGTCCGGGTACGGCCCATGACGTTGTATTCTCCCCGGACGGCCAGATTGTCGCGTCTAGATCTAATAGTAACACGGTCAGCCTCTGGGACTGGACGACAGGAACGCTGCGCGGCACACTCAAGAGCTATTGGAGTTTAGTCCCTGTAGACCCATTCTCGCCGGACAGCCATCTCGTAGTCGGAATAGTTCCTGCAGTCACATTCTCGCCCGATAGCCGTCTCGTCGCTTCCAAACTTAGTTATGATACGGTCATGCTCTATGATTCGGCGACGAGAACGGTGTGCGGCACGCTCAAGGGCCATTTAATGGTCACCGCCGTGGCATTCTCGCCGGACGGCAAGCTCGTCGCGTCCGTATCTCAGGACGGCACGGTCAGGCTCTGGGACTTGGCGACGGGAGCGGTACGCGGAGCGCCCGAGGACCATTCACCCCCTGCCAAAGCCGTCGCATTCTCGCCGGACGGCCAGCTCGTCGCATCCGCTCATGATAAGACGATCATGTTCTGGGACTCGACGACAGGAGGGCCGCGCGGCAAGCTCGACGCTGGCGTAGCGATTCAAGATCTATCTTTCTCTAGTGATGGGATATACCTAGAAACAGATTGGGGACTACTAAATATTAGATCTCTTTTCCCTAGCGCCATTCCTCTCCAGTCAAAGCCTTTGTGCTATATATTTGTGAAAGAGCATTGGGTGACTCAAGAAATGGAAAACATCCTTTGGCTTCCTTCTGATTATCGAGCTACGTGTGCAGCTGTCCGAAATAACCTTCTTGTCTTAGGACATGCGTCTGGTCGTGTTACGTTTTTCGAATTTGACGCAGCCAGTCTACCTCCTAGGGGGTCTATTCATACATAGAAATGGTTGATTAATAGCAGTGAATCCAAGTATGGTTAGTTAGGCGCTTTAATCAAGAGTTTTTATGACTCCATCTAGTGAAAATCGTATTCTCTTACACGAACTCCGGCTGCCTCCCACCCACCTCCGTTTTGGTCGACTTTCTTATACAGAGTTCGAAATCTTATCATAAAGGACAGGTATTTCGATCGGAGACTTAATCTTTTGGCCGAGGATCGACTAGTCATTAATAACTGACCTCGGTGCAAGAAGTTCTTAGAGGGTCCAGCCTTGCGTAAACCATCGACTTTTAGAGAAGGCGTCTTCCAGATCCTTTGGTTCAGGATCAAATCCGACGCGAGGTACACCGCCTAGGTAGGTGTAGCAGATCCCTGCATCGTGGTACCATTTGAACATGGAGTTGATAACTTCCGTCAGCTCGGCGCTGCGTGACTTGTCAATGCAGCACGAGTCTACCCAGACCCAGTCGTAGCCGTCAAGTCGTGCCTGATTGCAGCATCCTTGTATTTTAACAAACCCCTTTTTTTTCTCCGCAGTGGCTCGTATCAGTTGAGGGGCAGTAATCGAGGTATTGAATGGCATTGAATTTCTTTCTAGCTATACTATAGTGCTGTATACACTGTATATATAGATGTGAAAAAGACTCATTCCCTCATAGAGCTGAGTCCAGATCCCGGCGCAGCTGAGACCTGTGTATAGCTAAGAGCCATGTATATCCGAGACATACGCCGAGCTGAAAACATGTAGGGCTGAAAACTACGTATAGCTGAGACCAGCTCCCTATACAGCTGAAAATTGACGCCACTGATCCAACAGCTCGGTTCTCAGGCTGTATGTCTTTGAAGGAAACTTCCTTAGCGCCCCATGTGTGGGAGAGGATAGCATATGGGGTCTGTTTGCCTTGCCCATGAAGTCGCATAATTTGAAGCTTGATACGTTAAGAAGCCACATCATGGGTCTGAAGCTTTACCTTTAACCAAAGAAGACACATGTAGGCCAGGTTTCGCCTATTCAAAGCGCTGGGGATTAATGGAATCCTGCCGCTTTTAGGGCTAGTATGATCACTAGTAGGCGTGATGGCTCAAACGGGAAGCTGATGATGGCCTGAGAGTAGATCGTGGGGAGGAAGCTTGATCCACCCCAAGGTGCTATGCCTAGAGGTGTCAGAAAAGATACAGTTAAGGTTAGAATCGCAATGTCAGCGACATTCTCATCTGCCCAAATCATTAGCCGAAAACCCTTGCTAGCATTGTGGTAGTTTCTGCTGGTCCAAGGGATAATAGTACTTGTAGAGGCAAAAATCGTAGGTCAAAATTAAAAATCATAGTATTTAGATTAAAGCCGGTTTCGCATCTTACTATAAACCGCCAATTCTGCCTCTACAATTAGTAGCGGTACCTCAACGGGCAGGAGTGCACAGCCACAAGTATCTGAAAATAGACCCCGCTTAAAATAATTAACTAAAAAAATAGCGACACCCAATTCGCCTTCTATTGTAAATTTTACCGAGATTACTATAACCACGACGCAGCTGACCAGGGTCCTTGCTCGCTTGATTAGAGGAGGTATCAGCCTATATAGCAACGTTATATAACATGGCACGCCCCGGCTGCTATAAGAGTGGCAATAGCTTTTTAGCCTTATAATAAAACCTGGATATCTATATCTAATTATTCTATATATTTAAAAGGTACAAAAAGCTTAATAGTGGTATTATAAGTCAAGGGGTCCTATTATAGTATAAAACGAGACCCTCTATAAATTCAAGGAAGTAGTAATAATATAATAATAATTTTCGTAATTAATAGGTTAGAAGTATTCGGGAGAGATATATAATATACTAAAATGAAAATAAATAGAAATTTTGGTATATTTATAGATTTAAAATTACTTGAACTTAAAATATCTATAATTTGTCTTACTATAAGATGTGTCTCGGGATATAAGAATAGATATTATATTAATTATAACTATATATATTGGTTTTTGAATATATATGAGCCTATAAGTAAATAAAGCTAAAGGTATTTAGTAATTCAAATATATATATTAAACTAGTAAAAATAATTATAAAATGAAATATTTAATAGCTATATTCGTAAATATTATATTATAATTAGTATTATTTTTCTGGAATTCTTATTATATAAATTATAGCTCTTAGGAAATTAAGTATTACTATAATTAATATATATATTAGGCTTATTCTATAGTTTTGGGTTATCTAACTATAAATAATAAGCCTATATATTATAAAAACTATAGCTAAAAGACTAAGAAAAGCATATATTATAGTTTAATATAGCCTGAGAATTAGATATTAAAACTTTAAACTTAAGATTACTATAATATAAACTATAGCCAAAATAGAAACTATAATCTAGTATAGGTTCTATAAATATAAATTATAATAGAATCCGTAATAAACTAAAGAAACTATTAATTCTTATATAAGAATAATAATTCTCAGATAATTAAATTAATTCTAGTATATTACTATCTTTTTATTATAATTTAATATAATATAAAAAGATATAAAAAAGAAAAAATATAAGATTATTTCAAAAAAGAATATTATAAAGCTAATTATATTACTAATTTAAATAGTAATATAATAATTATATATTTATAGATATATATTAAAAAAATATTTATAAATATTTATAATCTTATTATAAATATATTATAAGCTATTTAGAAACTTCTAAAAGAATTTAAAAATAGGCTAATATTTAGTAAAATAAATTCGTTATTTTATTATTAGCTAAATAAGTTATTCTATTATAGAAATAAATAGTAGCTATTTTAGCTTCTAGTCTATTTAGGTCTATAAGCTATTAGCTAATCTATAATTTCTTTTTATAAATATAAATTTAGTTTAGAGGCTAGATTTCTCTAATTTCTATATCTAAAATAATTATTTATTAGAAAAATAATAACTATTATTAAAAATAATAAAACTAGAAAAAGATTTTCTAAAAATAGCTTTATATTATATTATTTCTTTTTAAATAAGCTAAATAGTATATTAGTATTTATTTCTAAAACTATTATAATACTTTCTAGTTTTTAATTCTTTATATTTTATATTAAATAGCCTTAATTAAATTAAGTAATTTTAAATATAATAAATAAATAAATAAATACTAAAAAGAATTATTAAAATACATTTATAAGTTTTTCTTTATATATTTCTTTTAGTTCTTACTAATAAAACTCTAGAAAATAAAATAGAAATCTTAATTAAATTATTATAAGTTTGTTTTATAACTAGAACTAATAATTCTTATATATAAAAGTTTTATTAGAGAAAAGATATCTTTTTTTTAAAAATATAAATAATTATTTAATTAGAATATATAAGGAATTATATAAAGAAATTAATATTATATTTAAGGCTATATTTATAAATATAATAATTAGAATAAACTTTAATAATAATATTTAAAAGTTTCTTATATTAGTAAAAATATATAAATAGTTTAAGTTTCTAAATCCGGCTAATAATTTATTTAGATTATATAAGTAAGCTTTAGTATAAAAATAAATAAATTATATAAAAAAAATATAATATTTAAATAAAAGCTAAAATAATAAAGAAATTAGGCTATAATAAAATCCGAAATTTAATAATAATTTAAATAAAAACTAAAAGAGCTTATAATTACTAATTAGATATTTTATTAGAATTTATAAAAGAATATAATAGTAATAGATTATTTTAGAAATTATAAGATATTTATTAGTAAGTAATAAGATAATAGAATAAATTAGTAAGTTATAAAACTATAATATTAAATTTAGTATAGAACTAATCTCTATTTCTCTTATAAGATTCAGGGAAGCTTCCTCTAAATAGGAGGCCCTAATAACATATATATAATTAGTAATTTATAAGCCTAATACTTATAATATAAATAGTAGTTAGTTATAAAGTTAAAGGGCCTCTAATTTCCCTAATTAATACCTGTAATATTCAAGGTTTATTATATATCCTTAAATTACATATAATCTTATATATATTATAACTATATTTCTTTTCTAGGATCTTATTCCCAAGATCTATTAATCTATCCTAGTAAATATTTAATTAATTAATTATTTAATTAAGGTAAACTTCTAGTATTTTAGGAAATAGTTTTACTAATATAATCTAGATAATAGATATAAAAATTATCTAATTAGATTAGAGCTAAGTAAGCGAGAAGAAAAGGTAATTATATCCCAGATATAGGGGCTAGCTAGTAATTGCGATTTCATTTAAGATCTAAGTATTCTAATTAGCTTAATTCAAAGTACTAAGATACTATTCTATAAAATTAATATTACCTATTAGATCTCGTATTAGAATAATCTAAATAGCTATATAAAAAGAATTTAATAAATATTTATATAAGAAACTTATATAAATATTTCTGAGATCCTAGAAATTATTTATAGACTTCTAGAAATATATATTAATTAATTATACTAGTTTCTAATTAGAACTAGTATAAAAACTAATAGTTAATTCAGGTAATTCTCTATTTCTATAAAAGAACCTCTTTATATTACTATATACTTTCTTTCTTTCTAATAATTATATATATAATAACTTTTTTTATTATTATTTTCTAGCCTTTTCTTTTACTTTTTTCTAAGTTTTCTTTAATTATTTTTAATTAATTCTATAATATCTTCTTCTAGCTTTATTATTTGCCTATATAATAATAAGTATAAAAGTAATCTTATAGTTTTCTTTCCTATTATTAATAAATACTTAAAATATTTCAAGTATTTACTTATTAATTTCTTTATCTTATATATTATAGTATCTAGTAAGAAGAATTATAATTATTATAATAAGGGTTCTAAATCTTATATATTAGTAAGTTCTTTAGCTTTAATATTTATTAAAGCTAATATAATTTCAGATTTCTTATTATTTATTAGAGACTTACTAGTTCTAGGAAAATACTATTATAATTTTTAAGAAATTTCTTAAAATATATTCTAAATAATATTATACTAATAAAAATAATATTATTAATTAGGTTTTTAAAAACTAGAAAAATACTAATAAGCTTTGGAATTCTTCTTTTTATCTTAATAAGGCAAATAATAATATTATTTAGGTTAGTATCCTAAAAATAAGTTTTTTCTAATATATTTAGGTATTTACTAATTTCTTAAAAAAATACTATAATATTTATTTTTAAAGTATTAATCTTATTACTAAGCTTATTACTAAGATTACTAAATAATTTATTACTAGTATTTTAAATATTAATAATATAATACTTATAGTTATTTAAAACCTAATTTTAGAAATTCGGGCCTTTTATAAGATATATATAGCTATAAATTCCTTACTTATTTCTTTTAATATCCTTAATATTAATATTATTATAATATAACTATATTTTATTAAGAAATAAGTAGATTCCGGAAAATATTAGCTAATTTTTTACTAAGTTCTAAATAGGGCTAGTATTTAGTATTTTTATTTTAGGAATTAGGAATTTATAGAAATTAGAGTTTATTTATTTAAGATACCTATAATTAGTTTATTTATAATAAATCTTTCTTAATTCTAAATCTTTTTCTAATAATTTAAATATAATTCTTATAAGCCTTAATAAAATCTTAGAAAACCTTTATAAATAAAAAAACCCTAAAGAAAAAATATCTCTATTATTATTCCGGGCCTTTTCTTAGTTATTTAAGTTTTCTTTTTCTTTTAAATAGCCTTTTTTTTTAGTAATTCAGAATTCTTTTTAATTTTAAGAAATTATTAAAAAATAGTTTTAGATTTTAAGTTATAGTTTTAGTTATATAATTTCAGAAATTTCTTAGAATTTTTAAAATTAGGGAAAATAAGTAACTAGATATTATAATTTTTAGGCTAGGCTTTTTATTTAATTAAATACTATTACTTTTTACTTTTATTATTTTATTAGTAATTAATAATA